GACTCCATGAGGTCAAATTGTTTACTTCATATATGTGAAAATGATTGTCCTTATTATTTGAGTAGTCTGAAAGAAAGGCTTGGACTGAGCGGAATATGATGGGGTGATTCTAAAAAAGTAAAACTGTGTAGGGAGAGATAAAAGGAAAAACTAATACAGAAGAAGCTAATGGGGGGAGGACAGGTAGTGCTGGAACGAGTTAGAGAGGGAAGGGGTGTGTGTGTGTGTGTGCCTGTGTGTGTATAAAAGTATTCTAAATTCAGAAAGAAATAAGAGGGTAAGGGAATAGGATAGGGGGAGAGGATAAGGAGGGACTTTTAGAGGAGTGGGTAGGTTAAGAAATAGGAGGGCAAGGTAGTAGGTAGAAGTAAAGCAAAGGAGTGAGGAGAGATAGGGTAGATAGGGTGAGAAGAATAATGAGGAAAAACAGGAAGGAGGAAAACACACAATAAGCAGTTGCAGCTTAGAATGTGAATGGGATGAATTCACACATAGAATGGAAATGGATAGCAGATTAAAAATTTGAATTCAACAATATGTTGCTTTCAGGAAACAACAAAAATGAGAGATAAACACAAAAGATAATATAAAGGGCAGGAGTAGAAGTTAGTATGTAAAAAAAGCAGAGATAGTAATCATGATCCTAGACAAAGTTGAAGTTAAAATAGGTTTAATCAAAAGTCAAAAATAGAAAAACCGCACTATGTATCAACAATATTATTTAATGTTGTTTTAGACCATTTAGAATACCTAGACAGTATAAAATACCTGAATATATTCCTGCCAAAACAGTCACAGGAACTATATGAACATAAACATGAAACACTTTTTATACAAATAAACTCAGATCTAAATAATTGAAGTAATATTTATTGGTCATGGGTAGGTAAAGCCAACATAAATTCCTAAATGACAATTTTACTTAACTAATCTATTTATTCAATGTCATCCCAATTAAATTACTAAAAGATTTATTTTACTGAATTAGAAAAAATAACAGTTCATTTGGAAGAACAAAAAGTTAGGAATTTCAAAGAAACCAGGAAAAAAGATGTAAAGGAAGTAGATTCAAGGGGCAGCTAGGCGGCGCAGTGGATAGAGCACGGGCCCTGAAGTCAGGAGGACCTGAGTTCAAATCCAGCCTCAGATCAAATTCTTGACACTTACTAGCTGTGTGACCCTGGGCAAGTCACTTACCCCCAATTGCCAAAAAAAGAAAAATAAAGTAGATTCAGCAGTATCAGATTTTTTCTGTAGAATATGAGGCAAAGTGGAACCCAGAATTTTAAAAACAAAAGTTCTTTAAAAAATGGTTTTCACATACAACTGGGAAATAAGATATACAGGAAATGGGGTATAGAAATCTATGCTGTCCTACAGGAAAATTGAAGGGGAAGGGGATAAGGGGAGGAGAGAGAGAAGGGAGGGCAGATTAGGAGACAGGTACTCAGAATGCATGCCATCTTGTGGTGGGGGGAGGTATGAGATGGGGAGAAAATTTGGAACTCAAAATCTTGTTAAAGTGAATGTTGAAAACTAAAATAAATTAATCAAGAAAAAAAGAATATGAGGCAAGGCTCTCATCTAAGAGGTGTGATTAAATTTAAACTATGTTATAAGGTGAGAGCATTGTTGAAGTATAACAAGGATAATTTCAATTATTTTGAATTAAAATTTTCTTGTGTAAATAAAATGTATGCAGCCAAGAATAGAAGGAATAGAGAAAACTGGAGGAAAAACTTTCATAGACAGTCTTTCAGATGAGGTGTGATTCGGTTGGAATATTGTTGTGGTGTAGGAAATGATGAGCTGGTAGAGTTAGAAAAACATGGAAGGACTTTGGCCTATGAAGGAAGGTGCTATCCACCTTCAGAGAAACAGATTATAGGAGGAAATAAGCATAGTACAGTCTTACATATATGTGTATGAATGTATATGTGTTTATAGATAATCTGTGTATATGTATATATATCCACCCTTAGTTGTAGCCTTCTTTAGAGTGGTGGGGGGAGGAAGGAGAAAAATAAGGTACAAAGTGCATAGCAGAGAACAAAAGAAAACCAGAAGAAAGCAAAGAAAAAACTTTATTATATAGGTTTTCTTGAAATGTAAATTTATTATTTTATATTGAATCCTCTCTTCTGTTCTGCTGTGTACATGGCAATTTTTTTTCTTTTCTCATTTTGTATTTAAGTTTAAAATAAAAAAAATTCACAAAAAGAAATGTTACAGAGTAAGAATGACTGATAGGGGCAGTCTTTCGGAGGGGATGGGATAGGATCTCTTGAACAAGTATAGACATTAACCTTGGTAAGCCCACTTCTTCATGTGAGAGAGGAGTGAAGGAGGAGATACAGTAACAGAAGGTATCTATGAGAGATAGGAGGCAAGGCTGTCACCTGAGAGGTGTGATATTTTCTACCTTTGTTTAGCAACACTTGTGTAGGAGTAAGGTGGTGGAAAGTGGGAATGGTCCAGGGCTGAGGCTTGGCAGGTTGTCAATGGTATGATAAGGGGGCTAGGGACTCAAAAAAGAAGAGCAGTGTAGAGCTGAACTAGTTCACCAATGGGAACTGAGAGAATTAATCCTTAAGTTGAAGATTTTTGAAATGTGTACATCGATTTGTATAATTTAGAGCACCTCTGGGAGGGTAAGTGCTGGAGCGGAGGGGATATGTGAGAACATGCTGTTAAATGACCCTGAACCTAAGGACCAGTTAGACCTAAAATGGTCATGGTCAGGGGCTAAGCCTGCCAGGTTCTCCAGGCTAAGACCTAAAGAGTAGAGTTTGGAAGAAGTCTTTATTCACAGAAGTTGTGAAGGTGCAGGAATGTGTTCCTACAGAAAGCTTACTTTTTAAAACATTCATATATATCAATCAAGAACCTTTAGGGGAGGTTTAAGGCTTTACTATGGGTTTGGTATCCAGCTTGTTTTCTCCTGGAGAGGGTTAAGGTCTGCATTTGTTCTTTTCCAGCTTTGATTCTGTTCCCTTTTTTGCAGGCACCCCCGTGAAAATCCTTTCCATAATCTGAAAGTCCTTTTGGTATCCGACCAGCAGCAAAACTTCCTGGAACTTTGGTCTGAGATCCTCATGACTGGGGGAGCAGCCTCAGTGAAGCAGCACCACTCAGTTGCCCAGAACAAAGGTACCTATTGAAAGGATGTTAGGAAGCCTCTGCTTCCCCAGGGAGTGCATTGTTTCTGCTACCCGTATCTGGCTAGCTTTTATAATTACTGGGCCTTGTGGTCAAAGTTCCTGTCCTGACAGGTTGACCTTGCCCATGTTCCTCTGAGAGAAGACAAGAGTAACTTCAGGTGAGGTGAGTCACCATAAGACAAGCACAGGGCTGTCCTTGGCTCGTGCTTGATTCCAGTGATATGTTTGCCAAATCTTTGCCTAGATGCGACCATTCTCTGGGTTCAGGGGACACTCATTATGGTATCTTTTTACTAAAAAGTCCAGGTTCAAATAGAGATTTGGAGAGAATAGGTCTCTAGTTTGGGCGAAGTGGAATGGTCTGGCTAGAGGCCATGTCTTTGCTCATAACAGAGGGCTATAACATATTCCTTTTAATTTATTTTCTGCTCATTCTTTCAGATATTGCTTTGGGGGTATTTGATGTTGTGGTGACAGACCCCTCGTGCCCTTCTTCGGTGCTTAAGTGTGCAGAAGCATTACAGCTGCCTGTGGTGTCACAAGAGTGGGTTATCCAGTGCCTCATTGCTGGGGAGAGAGTTGGATTCAAGCAGCATCCAAAATATAAACATGATTATGTCGCTAACTAAAGATGCTCAGCCCCATCAATTTCATTCCCTGCTATCGTGAAGACTGTGTTTTAACCAGGTTTTAAATGTGTCTTGTGTGTAACTGGACTTCATGCATGGATCATTGTATATAGTTTTCTTTGCTGGACTTTTATGACAAAATAAATGTTGAATCTCTTTGGTTGTAGTAACTGATTTCTTTATCCTTTTTTTCTGAGTTTCTTTTGGAAGGAAGGAATAGGAGAAAAGAACATTGCCTGTAGGGCAGAGGTTTTTTAACTTTTTTTTATATTTTGATTAATGTATTTCAATATAATTGGTTTCCTTTGTAATCCTGTGTATTTTATGAATATAAAAACAATTCTGAGGAGGGGTCCACATACTGCCAGAGGGGTCCATGTCAGGAAAAAGATTAAGAATTTCAATTGTATGACTTTTAAACAGAATCCTCATTACCTTTTGGAAGAGGGGCATCTTGCCTTGGAGATAAGGGGGGGCTTTCAAATTTGCTATTTAGTGTTTAGGAGGCTTAGTGCTGACCATTTGTTTTTTCTAGTTAATTTTGTACCAAGACATTCCAAAGATAAGTGGAGAATATTCTTTGCCTTAAAACACTTCTTTCCAGTGAGCATACAACTGGTAAGTTATATGTGCTTTCTAAAATATGAAGTTATGAAACTTAGGGATGCTAAGACTCACCTGCACTGAAGAGTTTGATTTCCTTTGATGTGTGGGTAAGCTGTCCTGTGGAGCTAGCTAGTGGAGAGTCCAGGACTGGGCTGGGACTGGGTCAAAAGCCCTGAGGTCATATAAAATGAAATAGCTACCTGAGCACTTAAAAATGTTCAAGACTCCAAAAAGTCATGTATTTCAAATTACTGTAGCCATTGCCCTTACTACCAGAAACAAGTTAGTTAGTCCCTTTGCAGTCAGTAGTAGAGGGAAAGACCACTTCCATCCATCTTCTTTAGGAGAAACCCGAATATCTCTTCTTTGCTCTTGCTTTCTAGGAGATAGCAATGGAGAGTCCCTGCTAGGTGAATGATTAATTTAAAGAGTAAGAACTAATAATTTTAATTAATTTTAATTAAATTTAATATAAAGAGTAAGAACGAATTTAAAGAGTAAGTTAAAGAGTAGAACATTGAGCAATGGCACTATAATCTAGGTAAATTTTCTAGGGACAGAGATCAAGTTTTTATTTGTTATACACAGAAACCAGTACAATGGCAAGGACTTAATAAATATTTATTTTGATGGTGTTATGAAACTGCTGACGACCTAGGTTCAAGCCCTGTCTCTGCCACATAACTGTTTCCAGGACTGTGGGCAAGTCACTTAATTTCTTGGTGCCTCAGGGACCTCTCAGACTATGAGTTGTGGATTGGCTGCAGATCTGAATTGATGGAGAGTCTCCCATACCTATGAGATACCACCTCTCACCCCTCCCCAAATAAAATTGCTGAATGCTTCTACTTTAGTAGCACTAATTAGTTGGGTGTGGAATTTGTGATTTAAACTACTGATGCCCTTTTATGGCTGAAATTTTCACATGGAGACTTTATTCTATTCCCCCCCCCCACCAAAAAAAACTTCCATACATCTTAATCCTTTGTTATTGACCCAGCTACTTACTCATTAAGTTTAAGCTGAGATAGCTGGAAGTTGTTTATTTTTGATTCATAGATTAAGATCGTTTAGCTACTTCAAGGATTATGTAGAAAAGCTCTGAATAAGGAAGAATGGCTATAAATTCAATAGAAAATTTACCTTTTGCCCTTTTTGCTTGCTAATGGCAGGCAACCAGAAATCTGATGTGTGCAAAAATAATCCCGTTTCCAAATATATGCCATAAGCAGATTTGACTTTCTGGTCATACTACAATGATTGTTCAAAATGTATTTCTAGAAGAACTACATATTCAGTAATGGTCATTTGACTATTAACTAAGTCATGCTTTACCACCAAACTCCTAGAAGGAGGATTAATTAATAAACTCTTATAGAGGTCCAGAAGAAAATTTGCTTGTGTTTGGATGTGTATGAAGCTAACATTTTTCAGTGGTGATAAATGATGTCCTTGGTACAAAGTTAATGGCTCCATGACAGAAGGGAGTGGATTAAACTTCAGTGATTGAAGAGGAGATAAAGAATTTCTCAGTTATAAAAGCAGAAGAGAATGTTTCCATGAACCTTCAGTAACAGACAGGATCACCAGACTGGATAGATGGAAATTGCAGTCTTGCCAACTCAGCTTCTGAACCTCGGCCACAGGCTATTTTTATACCCCAAAACTGCAAAAGAAAAAGACCCCATTGCATAATTTTCAGAAGTCTTCTTCAAAAAACTATGAATGTGAGACAGTTTCACATTAAAACTCAAGGAACTGTATACAGTTCCTAGCCTGTCTTCTGTTAACATCACCAAATGATCTGTTGGAGGAGGCTTAGAAGAAATTACTAAGACCAAATAAGCCTTTTTTTTCTCTTTAGGAAAATGTTTGAAGAAAGATAATGGGAGAACTGAGCAAATTATTTTTATCTCCTCTTGCTCACAAACCCACACTATAGTATGGGGAAAAATTCTACTGAAGAGACTATTTAATATAAAGAAGCTTGATCTTTTTACATGAGGCAGCATGGCACAACAGAGGGGAGCCCACTGGATGTGGAGTCAGAGGATCTGAATTCAAATCCTGGTACTGCTATTTATGTGACTTTTGGGCAACCTGAGACAATAGGTCTCGATTTCTTCATTGTAAAATAAGGGGGTTGGAGTAGAAGAACTCAGAAGACCCTTCCCGTGCAGTGTGATTCTATAAACCTTACTAGCTGAATACCACCTCTTCCTACCTGCCCAGAGTCCCACCAGCTTGGGTGTAATACTTGTTGTAATCCAATCGTAGCAGTAGTTGAGCCAAATCTGAGTTTATCTGATGATTCCGGACACTGGAAAGGATCTTAAAAAGGAGTGAAGACTGACGGCTAAAACCCTGCAGGAAAGAGTAACGGTGATTAAAATGAGCTCCCCACAAAACCTCATCCTTCTTTTATCTATAGCTGGGGAAGATGGGGAATTTCATATGAAGTGCCTTTAAGTTCAGGGGACTGATTGTGGCTGTGGCAGGGCAAGAAGAGGTCCCAGATCAGCACAAAGAGGTGTAACCTTGTGCAGGGCACAGTAACAAATGCCAGCTGATTGCTCTGTCACTCACTACCCAATGCTGGGTCACAGATACAGAGGGGTTGAGGAAGGGTTCTGTACCTAGCAGGAGTGGTCACAGGCTCTAAGCTATGCACTGAGCAAGCAGCACATTGAGAACCAACAGTTACATGGAGCTGGGTGTGAAGGAGGGAAGGAGACTCAGTTTCAGCATCAGGCCCAGTCCGAAGCTGGCAGGATAATAACCAGGGCAGGAATTCTAGACCAAAGGGAACCCTTTGTTCTGTCATCCTGAATCTGCAGAGATTTTCTTTGGGTTGATAGTGGCTGATTTCAACAGCAGTCCACTAGAACTTCAATAGGAGGCAAGCCTATAATTGCATTGCTCAGACCCAAAATCAGGCCCAGAATTTGCAGAGCTCTGACCACTAGGATGGCGCTAAGATTTCACCTTGGATCACTGGAAACTTACAGGTGTCCAGCCTAAGCTGTCCCTGAGACCCTGGAATAATATAACAACACCCCAACAAAGCAGCATCAAGACCCAAGAGGACACAAATATAGCCTAGACATTCCCTCCAAAAGTACACAAAGTCTAGCCTTTACATAAAGACTGAAGTCAAGAAGTAAGCTGGAAAAATGAGCAAACAAACAAAAAAAAAAAAGAATTCCACCATGATGTTATTATTGGTGAAAGGGTCACTCAAGCCACAAACTTTTAAAAGGAAAGAATGACTCCAAAACACCTATAACTAAAGTCTCAAAGAAAAATACAGCTTGAGCACAAGTTCAACTAGAATTCCTAGAAAAGAAGATGCAAGAGTTTATTTTTTCAAAGTTTATTTTTACAAAGACTTTTTTCTTTTTTTTTTTAGTTCTAAATTCTCACATTTCCCTCACTCCCTACCCAACCCAATAAGAAAGTAAAAAACCCTAAAACCTATTACAAATATGTATAGTTATGCAAAACAAAGTTGCACATTAGCTAAGTCAAAGAGCTTAAAAATTTTTTTTACACATGAAGTTAAAACATTAAAAGAAAAGAATTGAATGGAACAGAATTAGCGAATTAATAGCTTGGAACAAGAGGTACAAAAATCTTACCCGTACAACAGACTCCCTGAAAATCAGAATGGACTAAATAAAAGATAATTCCATGAGACAAGAAATATTAAAATAGTGTCAAGAAAACTGCCTACATCTCTTGGAACCAGAAGGCAATATCAATTAGTAAGCATTTACTAAGCGTCTATTATGTGTCTGGCAGTGTGCTAAGCACTGAAGATACCAAGAAAGGCAAAAGACAAGTTCCTGTTTTCAAAGAGCTCAAAATCTATTAGGTAAGATAACATGGAAACAATTATGTACAAACAAACTGGATACAGATAAATCTGAAATAATCAACAGAAGGAAGGCCTTGCAATTAAGGGGGATCAAGAAAGGCTTCCTGTAGAAGGTAGGATTTTAGCTGGATCTTGGAGCCAGGAGATGGAGATGAACAAAAAGAGAACTCCAAGCATGGGGGACAGTGACAAGGCCTGTAGTTCGGAGATGGCGAGTGTTGTGGGAGGAGGAGCAAGGAGGTCAATGACACTGGACCACACAGTATGTGGTGGAGAGTAAGGTGTGAGAAGACTGTAAAGGCAGGACAGGGCTAGATTATAAAGGGCATTGAAAGCCAAGCAGGATTTTATATTTGATCCTGGGGGTCACAGGGACTGACATTTATTGAATAGGAGAGAGGTGACATGGTCAGAACTGCACTTTTAAGAAGATTAATTGGAGAGATGAACGGAAGGAAGATGGATTGGAGTGGGGAGACTAGAGGCAAGGAGATCAACCAGCAGGCCATTTCATTAGAACAGAAATGAGGTGATAAGGGCAGGTACCAGAGCATCATGTGTAGTGTCAGAGGAAAGAGGCATATAAGGACATGTTCTGAGTTAAAATTAACTGGATATGGGGAGTGAAAGAGAATGAGGACTTGAGGATGACACCAAAGTCTGGTGTTATCCTTAACAGTAACAGAGAAGTTCAGAAGAGGGTAGGTTTTTGGGGGAAAGTTAACGAATTCAGTTTTGGACATGGAGAGTTTAAGATGTCTATGGGAGGAAGCCAAGATGACAGAGTAACATGAAGCAGTATATAACAAGCTCTCCTCACTAAAAAAACCAAATTACTCCAAACAAATCTAGAAAACACCAGACTGAACCTTTTTTTTTTTTTTTTTGGTGAGGCAGTTGGGGTTAAGTGACTTGCCCCGAGTCACACAGCTAATGAGTGTCAGACCAGGATTTGAACTCGGGTCCTCCTGACTCCAGGGCTGGTGCTCTATCCACTGTACCACCTAGCTGCTCCCAGACTCAATCTTGATGGGTACATCCAAGAAAAGTCACAGTGAGTCATTTGTCCATTCCAGGTCATCTGGAGATAGATGGCAAGGTCTACGAATGCTAGGGATGAAGTTGTATACAGAGCACCCTAGGTATGAAGGAATCCAGCTCCTAGGGAGAGGCTATGCACCAGGGCAAGAGGAAGTCCCAGATCTATATTAGGGCATTGCATGCAGGATGCAGGAACAGGTGTCAACTGGCACTTTTGGAATCCACTACCCAGTTCTGGGTCACAGATCTTTGGCAGACTGAGAAGGGAACCTGCACCCAGGGGGTAGTAATCCTGACCAGAGAGACCCATGGTGGTTTTTAAGGTGAGAGGAGCAAGTTCAGAAGTAAGTGGTAATGATGTGGCTCAAAGCCCCAGAGTGGGGTGCCAGTTTCCAGCCCAGTCTGACCACCTGCAGAAGAATAACTCTGGTGGGAATCCCAGACCAAAGGGGAGCTGACAACTCCATCACTCTAAACTAGCAGCTTTCCACGTGGCAAGCAGGGTGAAGTCCAGCAGTCACTGCTGCTCAGACCCAAACCCAAGTCAGGCCCTTGCAGAGCTCAGACCAAGAGGCAGTGATCAGATTTTGCCCAGGATCTCCTGGAATAACACAACACTTAACACTCCAAGAAAGCAGCAACAGGACCAGCCTAGACCTTCCCTCCAGAAGTGTGCAGGGCGCAACCCTAATATCAAGTCTGAAGTTAGGAAGTAGGCTGGAAGAACGAGCGAACAAAGAATCCCACCCTAAAAAACTTGTGAGAGCAGGGAAGCTCAAGACACAAACCCATAAGAAAAGATGACTAAAATATCTGAACACAAAGCCTAGAAGAAAAATACTGCTTGGGCACAAATTCACCTGTAATTGTTGGAGGGGATAAAGCAAGAATTTTTTTTAAAAAAGAGTTGAAAAACATTTATATAAATTAAGTGAGAGCACTTGAGGAAAAAAATGGGAAAGAAACAAGCTATGGATGAACGAGCTGAAAAGGGAATTAACAGCTTGGCACAAGAGGTATAAATCTTTGCCTAAGTAACAAAGTCCCTGAAAATTAGAATGGACCAAAAAGACGCCAATGACTATGAGGCATCAAAAAACATTAAAGTCAAAAGACTGAAAAAAAATAGAAGGAAATGCAAGGAACCTCATAGCAAAAACAACTGAACTGGGAAACAGATCAGGAGAAAAAAAATTTAAGAATCACTGAACTATCTGAAACCCACAAACAAAAATAAGAGCCTAGACACCTTATCTTATTTCAAGAACTCTTAAATGAAAACTGCCTGTATCTCTTGGAACTAGAGGGCAAAGTAGAAACAGAAAGAATCGACCAATCACCTCCAGAAAGAAATTCCAAAACAAAAACTCCCAGGAACATAGCCAAAATCCAGAGCTTCTGGGTCAAAGAAAAAAATACTTCAAGTTGCCAAAAAGAAAGAATTTAAGTACCAAGGAGCCACAGTTGGAATCATACATGATTTAGCAGCCACCAGTATAAAGGAGTGGAGAACTTGGAATATATTTCAGAAGGCCAAAGACTTAGGGTTACAGCCAAAAATAACTTATTAGTAGAACTGAGTATAATACTCAGGGGTAAAAGTGGATTTTAATGAAATAGAGGACTTCCAAGCATTCCTAATGAAAATACCAGAGCTTGGTAGAAACTCTGAAGTTCAAACATAGGAGTTAAGAGAAAAATAAAAAGGCAAACACAAATGAACAATGATAAGGTACTAAACAAGTGTCACTGCTTATATGTAAACGTGGGGAGATGATATATATGTTCCCTCTTAACCCTATCATCATCAGAAGTCATAGAAAGTCTAACTAGGCAAAGCCTGGGAGTGGTTCTGTTGATGTCTTGGTGATCTTAAGAAAAGAATGGAAAGAGAGGGGAAGTATAATATATTGGGGAGAGAGAAAAGAGAGAAGGGAAAGATTAGGGAAAATTAATAACTTTTGGGGCACAGTTCCAAATTGCTTTCCAGAATGGTGAGATCAAATTATAGCTCTATTGACATGGTGCTTTAATGTACCTATTTTCCCATACTCTTTCCAGCATTTGCCATATTCCTTTTCTGTCAGCTTTACCAAACTGATGAATATGAACTGGAACCTCAGAGTTGTTTTAATTTGTATTTCTCTGATTATTAGTGATTTAGGCATTTTTTCATATGGCTTTTGATAGTTCGGATTTCTTCCTCTGAAAACTGCCTGTTTATAGCCTTTGATTATTTGACAACTGGGGGACTTATTCTTGTGAATCTGAAATCTTTCACTTTATTTTTTAGAAATATGTCCTTTATCAGAGAAAATTGCTGCAAATATGTTTTCCCATTTTTGTTTCTCTTTTAATTTTAGCTGCTCTGGTTTAGTGCACAATCAAAATTGTCCTATAATCCTCTCTATTTTTTGGGCATGAATTATTCCACACTCTAAAGATCTTACAGGTAATTTCTTCCTTGCTTTTAAAATCTGTTTATGATGTTACCCCTTATGTTTAAGACACATACTCATCTGGCTAATACTTTGGTATATATGGTATAAGATCTTTAAACTATAAACTAGTTTCTGCTAGATGCTTTCCAGTTTTCCCAAGTTTTTGTCAAATATCGAGTTCTTACCCCAATAGCTAAGATCTGATAAGTTTATCAGATACTAGGCTTACTGTGCTCATTTGTTTCTGTATATTGTGTACCAAATATGTGCTACTGATCAACCTATTTTTTTTTAACAAGTACTACATAATTTTGATGACTACTGTTTTGTAGTATAGTTTAAGAGCTGGTACTGCTTGGCTTGTTTCCTTTTTTTCCCCATTTCCCTTGAGGTTCTTAGCCTTTTATTCTTTCAGTTCTGTTACTATTTTTCTTAGCTCTATAAAGTAGCCTTTTGATAGTTTGATTTGAATGGCACCGAATAAGCAAATTAATTTAGGCAGTACTCATTTTTATTATGTTGGCTCAGCCTACCCACGAGTAATGAATATTGTCTAATTATTCAGATTTGTCTTAGTTTTAAGAGTGTTCTGTAGTTGTATTCATATAGTTCTTGTGAGCACCTTAGCAGGTAGAGTCTCAAGTATTTTACACATTCTGTAGTTATTTTAAATGAATTTCTCTTTTTATCTCTTCCTCCTAGGTTTTGTTGATAATACGCAGAAATGCTAATGATTTCTGTGAGTTTATTTCTTGTAAATTTGTTAAAGTTGTTAATTATTTGAATTCTTCACTTAACTCTCTAAAGCTTTCTATGTAAATCATTATATCATATGCAAAAAAAGATAACCGTATTTCTTCTCTGTCTATACTTATTACCTCAGTTTCTTTTTCTTGTCTTATTGATCTAGCTAGCATTTCTAAGATTATATCAAATTGTAAAGGTGATAATGGACATCACTGCTTTACCCTTAATCTTATTCAAAGGCTCCTAAGTTTATCATTACATACAATGCTGGCTCTTGGTTATAGATAAATACTACTTATCAAATTAAGGAAAATACATTTATTCCTGTGCTAGTTTCTATTCTTTTTAACAGGAATGGGTGTTATATCTTATCAAAAGCTTTTTCTACATCTTTTGATAATAATCATATGATTTTTGCTGTTATTATTAACATGGTCAATTACGTTTATAGTTTTACTAATATCAAACAAATCTTGCATTCTTGCTATAAATCCAACCTGGTCATACTGATATGTTTGTAAAGCCTACTTGCAAATATTTTATTTAAAATTTTTGCATTATTTTCATTAGACATCAGCCTATAGTTTCCTTTTCTCTGTTTTGATGGGTTTTTTTTTTAACTTGGCCAATGAGGAAATTTGTTTTGCTCGACTATATATATTTGTTACAAGAGCTTTGTTCTTTCTTTTTCATTGGTGGGTGAAGGTGGGAGAGAGAGAAGGCAGATTTTGGTTAACTAAAAAAAACAAAATTTAATTAAAAAAAAAATTCTACAGAAGAGGATGGAAGCGCTCTCTTTAGCTGGCAAGACTGTCCCTATCCAACACCATTTTGGCAGAGCTGTCTACTCTGATTGAAAGACTTACCTTCACTAGGATACTCAGTTGGGCAGCCCCACGCTCATCTAGAGGTCCCAGATTCTGACTGACAAGTGAGCAGAAACTGTGACAGAGATCTAGAATTTCATTCAGGCAGTGGAATACCTATATTTAAAAAAAAAAACAGTAAAAGAAGGAAAATGGGCATGTTATGGGGAATGACAGAGTACAGGATTCAAGGTCTTCTATTCCCAAAAACACACCTATAACTCTGACCTTTCTTTCTTTCTTTCTTTTTTTGTCCAGGCAATTGGGGTAAGTGACTTGCCCAGGGTCACACAGCTAGTAAGTGTCAAGTATTTGGTCTGAGGTCAGATTTGAACTTGGGTCCTCCTGACTTCAGGGCCGGTGCTCTATCCACTGCGCCACCTACCTGCCCCAACTCTGACTTTTCTTCTTGAACTCCAGGCTTACATCTCTGACTGCTGAATATACATTTCAATTTGATGTCCTTTGGTACCTCAAATTCAGCATGTTTGAAACAGAATTCATTACCTTTATTTCCTCAGAACCCCTTTGCCCTTTAGGATTCCCAATTTCTATTCACTATCTCCTGAACATGCCGTGGATATTCCATGGATATGTCTTTATTCATTCTATATCCCCTGTATGGCATGTACAAAACACACTTCTTTTTTTCTCTCCTTATTTTTCCACTTCTCTAAGTCTTTCTTCAAGGCCTAGCTCAAGTCCCACTTCTTCCATGAAACCTTCCTTGATTGCCCTAACTCACAATGATCTCTGTCCACACCAAGCATTCTAGCATTTACTCACCACACCTGTTATTTGGTGCTATAGTAACAATACAAGGCAACATACGCTATCTTGCATGTCTATAGTCTGTCTTCCCAATTAGACTGCAATCTTCTTGAGAGGCAAACCATGTCATCTGGATCCTGAGTGTCTAGTATAGGGCCTTAATGGAGCGGGTTGATGAAGTTCTAGTCTCATCATCCTCTCGCCAAAGTAGAACTGAGGGGCAGCTAGGTGGCGCAGGGGATAGAGCACCAGCCCTAAAGTCAGGAGGACCCAAGTTCAAATCCGGCCTCAGACCAAACACTCGACACTTACTACCTGTGTGACCCTGGGCAAGTCACTTAACCCCAGTTGCCTTAAAAAAAAACAAAACCAAAAACGAAGTAGAACTGAACTCAAACCATCCAAGGCAGGTGGCTGATCCTAATGTGGGGGTGGGGAACCTGCAGCCTCAGGCTGCATGTAGCCCTCTAGGTCCTGAAGTGCAGCCCAAATCCTAGGGGATTTTGTGAAGTTTGGATTCATTCAAAGGGCCACACTTGAGGACCAAGAAGGCCACATGTGGCCTTTAGGCTGCAGGTTCCCCACCCCTGTCCTGATAGTTCTCAAGCTTTTTTTAGTTCATAGACACCTTTAGAAGAACAAGTATTTCACTCACTCTTACTTTTTATCATTACCATACATACTCACTAAAATTCCTCCTGCTACAGGTAAAGCAGTTTCTGTTTCTTTTGTTTTAAGCTATTCTCTATTTCTTATATACTTCAGAAACCTGAATATGTATCATCTGTGTTTTTGTGTCTTCTATTTATAAATATTGCTAAGCACCAACAAAAATGGGGAATAAAGATTTGCTTAATGGAAGTCCGTTGTCTTGTCAACTCAATCAGCATTTGAAGAAGGGGAAGATTCAGTGCTATAATAATTTCAGAAAACCAAACTAGCCCCACTCACAGGTTTCAGCAAGATGAATGACTGAGCCAGCAAGTTGCTCAGGAAGTGGTCATGAGCCAACTGGATGCTTTCAAAATCCCTAGTGGAGTTAATCTGATGGAGAAGCTGGGAGAATTGAGACTCCAGCACATCTACCTGAAGAAGAATTAGAAATTATTAAAGCATTTTGAATGATGTGATTACTCTAGGATAGAAAGCGGTAGTAAGGCATCTGAAAAAATAAACACAGAAAACTCCCCTGCCCTGAGCTCATCCACTTTCTTCTAAAAGTTCTTGGACTGACCAAGAAAGCCCTTATTATTTGGCATGACTTTGGTAGGGAAAGCTGAAGACCTGCTTCAGCCCAGCCTCCCCTCCTTAGCAGATGTTTTATGTTCATACTGATTGACCCAGTTACATCTTGTTAAGATTCAAAGACTTATGGGACACTTCAAAAACAGTCAAGCCAAAACTTCAATGATTCCAAAGATCTGAGATTTCATCCGGAGAGTACTCCCTCCAGTGAATTAAATTGCCATCACTAAGCTGAGTTACTATGACCAAACCAATTCATCAGCTGGTAATCAATCATCTGGTGTTAAGTCTCTCCTAACTTAGTGAGGCAGGTTCTTAGACAACAAATAGTTTGTCATATGGCCTGACTTGAAAGTTTCATAGTTTGGTAGGATCTGCCAGAGCTTGCACTTTACTGACATAACCTTCAAAAAAACTCAGGGTCAGCTTCCTGCCACAATAGAGCAGAGCAGGATTTTAATGTGATGCTAATGCCGTCACATCCACAAAAACTTATTAAGTGCCTTAGTTGTGCTGCTCATGAGATCATTAGTGCTTGTGGAGCGCCTTATGCCTTTCAATACCATTCCACTGTAAAGTAATTCTAAAAACCATGCCCAACAATCCAGCCCATTTTTTCTCTCATGAGCATTTCACACAGGGCAAGACTAAAACATCCCTTCAAGACCTTTCTCCTGCCCTTTCTTCATCCCTCATCTACTACTCAACTTTCAGCACAGACCTGGAGATAATATTGAAGATTATCCACCAAGAAGGCCATGTGGTTCCGTAGGCGCCATTTGACGGCATCGCTCTGGTTAGACTTGAGGTGCTTGCGCTGCATCTGGAGGGCCCAGCAGTGCTGCAGCTCTGCCTGCACTCGTCTTACGCTGAGCAAGTACTTGAAGACAACATTGTACCTGGGTCCAAAACAACCACCGTGATGCTAGAATCTTCCATTTCCAGCCACCTCCCCTTTTTCCTCGGTCAAATTCCAGATTCCTACCCTTTCTCCCATTTTCAAAAAGAAGGGATGTGAAGATAGCCAGAAAGGGTATCTCTCTGCTGGAGACAAAGTTCTTGTTCCTCTCTCCTGAGGCTCAACTCAATGCATGTGTCTGTCCCAGGACTTTCCACTTCTCCACTCACAAAAGGCTCAGCAATCCAAACAGCCTCTGCCCCTTCTACCTTTACTCTGACAAGTCATGCCAAACAACATCTGCTTTACAAAGTTCACTGAACTATACAGAGGTCATGAGAAGCAATAGGCAACCAGCTTTTGGGGAATGTAAGTCCCTCAAGAGCAGGCATGTTTTTTCTATAATCTCTTAGGGTTCAGGATTGCACAATGTGCTGAGGAGCTCTTAATGATATTTAATAGTTAGCTGTCTGAGAGTGATACAACCTTCTCTGAAAAGTAACGTGTCAGCCAAAAAGAAAGAAAGAAAAAAAGAAGGGGCAGCTAGGTGGCAAAGTGGATAGAGCACTGGCCCTAGATTCAGGAGGATCTGAGTTCAAATCTGGCCTCAGACACATAACACTTACTGGGCAAGTCACTGAACCCCACTGCCTAGCCAAAAAAAAAAGAAAGAAAAGTAATGTGTTGCTAGTCTCTACAAGTATCCAAATGGAGACTGAATTACTCTTTCAGAGAAAGAACTCCTGCCCTGTAGTGAGGCTATACTACGTAATTTGGAATGTCCCTTCTAATTCTAAAGTCTGTGCCTCTAAACTTTTCATCCCTCCCTAGGGCATGACAGCCACTGACAGAAGAGGAATGCCAGAGGGGACATACTGAAGACAGGGCACACCTGGAAGAAGAGCTGATTTCTAGTGGAACCAGAATTATGTGACTTCTCATCTAGGCATGAGTTTTCACAGAAAAATGAGAAACCTAATTTCCTTAAATTCTAAAATGATCCAGGTCTAAACTCTCCTTATCCAAAGGGGTTAAGGACACATCCAGCATCAAACCAATTACCCTGTCACTAGAATATTCACCCCAGACAAGCCTCCAGCTTCCCCTAAATCATTTTCAAAAAACAGAGGCAACATGACATGTTAGGAAGATCTAGGAGTTTGGAGGCCATTTATTCCAACCCCCTCATTCAACAGATGAGGAAACGAAGACCCAGGGAGTCTGAATGACTTGCCCATCATCACAGAGGTAGCAGTAGCACAGCCAGGACTCAAACTCAGGTTCAGTGATTCCAAGTTGAGCTCTATTTCTACTAAATCATACTACTTCCCAAGGGCTTTGGTTCAAAAAGACATCTCTCACCAGGAGTTCTCTAAAGAGTTTTAGGTCAGGCATCTGCTTGTGAAACAGAATGGGGTGGAGATGGCTGGATTCTTGAAGTTGTATCTCCTGGGCCTTCAGACTACTAACAACTGGTCAGATGGCCGCTGTCTTGCCTGCCTAGATCATCTCGTCTGGAGCACCTAAGATAGATAGTGTTTGCTAGCAAAGAGCTCACAGAGGCCTTGTAAACCTACTTCTCCAGGACAGCAGGAGTGAAGAGAATATGGAGAGGCCACTGCACTTTGTAGGAAAGACCCAGCGCTGCCCAACCTGATGCAGGGGCTTCTCGGGGAGAGGCGTCCCGAGAAGGTGCTTCTCGTGCTTGAGTAACATCTAAGGCAGAAAAAGAAAAAGAAAACATAGAAACTTCAGCCTAATTAAGATAGACAACTTGTTTTGTTAAAAGAAGAACGCACATGAATAACATGAAAGAAAAAACCGGAGGATGTCTAAGGCACAAGGAGGAAGACAGTGGGCAGAGGGCAAGGAAACAAACAATGTGTTTGAGGCTTCTTGGTAGATCTTAGTGATTATTCTATTGTCTTTAAACGTAAAGGCAGTTGGAATAAGACAAGAACTAACCCATCTAACAGAAATATGGCATGGTATAATGAAAAAATCCTTGGCTGGACAATGAAGTGGTCTGGATTCTAATCCTGGCCCTGCCACCCACGAGTCTGGGCAAGTCACATAACCACCCGGTGTCCTTGTTTCTTAATCTTTAAAATGAAAAGGTTGAACTAGAAGATCTCTTAGGACCCTCTGACTGCTAAAGGTAGATAACTAAGATAAAAACCCAAGAAAACCACGTCAGTGTCTTCAGAGAAGGAAGCAGCATCAGAAAAAAATAACACTGATATGGGATGGAGAGAAAAGGGGATACCTTTATGTTCCTTCCCATGGTACTCAATTGTCAGATGGAGCAGAGGGAGGAGGTTGTCATCATCTAACAGTACTTTGTGGGCAGACTGCTGGAAGGCCACATTAACATCTGGCAAAGAGAGAGAACAGGGAGCAAATAATAGCATTTGGCTATATAACTAAGCCTGGGGGAAAAGTACTCTCACCCAACCCTGCCTGACTGTCAGGAACAAACACTATTTGACTTTGGGGCCCAGACTATACCTTTTCATACAGATAATCACTGGTTATGTGGCTGCTTGTCCCATAAGACAGCTGCAGCCTGATGGGAACAATTCAGTCACTCTGGAACGGCTCCTCTAGGCAGCGACAGAGGGCAAGGAGGCTGCCCCTCGACTCCACAACGAAAAAGCTAAGAGTTGGGCTCTTCTCTCACGGAAAGGCACTTCTGTTACTCAGCCATCCTCTTTTCTGTTGAGTGTAGTGGGAATGGCACCCCAGGAACATGTAATTTCAGGAAGCAAAAGACACTTACCATGTTCAGTTACTGCAGTGGGTGGTGTCTTTAACATATGCTGGGCTGTATCAATAAAGGCCTGGAACAGTTCTCCTCGTCCCAGCAGGTAAAAGTCTTTAATGATCTTTGAAAAAGAATGTCAGTTTACAAGTTAACAATCAGGCAAGCCTAGGAATTCTCACTACCCAGGGGATTCAATTCAGTTTAATTAAAGCATTCATGAAGCTCCTGTTATGTGTGAGGCATTGTCCAGAGAGATAGGAACACACAGAAGAAAATTAAATCATACCTACTATCAAGTAACTTATATCCTACTTGGGAGATACAATATTTACCCAAATAAGTAAAATTGAAGATAAATTAGAGGCAGAAAGCACTGAAGAGTGGGCAGATAAGTGGAGGCTTCCCTGAGGAAGTAGAACCCAAGCTAAGCCCTAAAGGAAGAAGACAAGGACTCTTGAAAAGCAGAGATGACAAAGGAATGCATCCCAGACATGGGGTATGGCTCACGTAAGAAGAAAGAGGCCGGAGACGAAGGGTTTGGGAACAGTCAATAATCGCAGTGGGTGGAACACAGAGCTCACGAAAAGGAGCAGTATGAAATAATGCTAACAAAGTAGGTTCCCAGACTGTAGAATGGCCTTTAAACTCGAGACAATGTAGAGCTGTCTCCTTAATTTGGACCCAATTAACACATGGATCGGAGGCAGTGTGGTACAGTGGATAAAGAGCCAAATTCAGAGTCCTGGGTCCAAGTCCCTTCTGTGAGACATCCTGGCTGTGTAACCCTGAGCAAGTCGCTCAACCTCTCAGTGCCTCCAGGTCAATTCTCTAAGACAAGAAGTTGCAGAGAGGGTACTGATCTGCACTGATAGAATGTTTTTCCCTTGGGAATTCCCCATACTGATGAATACTTTGCCATTTCCCTCCTGTCCCCAACACAAGGATGTGAGATTCTGCCATTCTAAACAGGCATATTGGGAACTGAAATTTTAGTGATGCTGTTAAGCCAGGAAGATTACAGTATGTTTGGGATCTTGACTCAGTGGCAAAAGAAAGGATCAAATTACAAGAAAACTTGTGTCTATCTCTTTGTGCTACAGCATGGTATATTTGTACAATCATGTTTATATTTATAGAAGCAAATCCTGGAAGGAATTCTTCCTTCAGTGAGCAATGGGCTGCTCACTTTGGGGAAGAGTATACAAGGTCATCCTATGAATCCAGGGATAGGTTTCCTTCCCAAAGACAGGAGAGTTAGGGGAGGCAAAATGTTAGCTGCACTTTAACAGTAAAGGAAAATAAATGAAACTATTACCTTTAATTGGCCCAGTAAATCTGACTCCTCTACCATAAGCTTCCATAGATGCTGAGGAAACAAGAACATGAGTGAAATCCCATTTCAAGAACACCATTACAAAGGAATCTTTATTAAAAAGGTACCCTATGTTCCACTGAATGACCCACAAAAGGGTACGGGTACTACTCTTATGATCATTACAATAAATTGTTTACCAAAAATACTTCTGAAAAACTGATAGTAGACCCCATATATATATGCCAGCGGCAGCTTAGCCCTGTTCTTTTGTTCATTAGTGGCAGACCAAATTTGGTCAAAAGTTACTGTAGGCAGAAATAGACATACAAAATGCTGACAGTTCAAATGAAACAAAGATCTTACTTATTCCTTCAACTAAAGAAAACTGTGACATGAGAGGCTAAGTCGATTCTATCTCTGTCACTATGCAGGCAGCAAGCAAAGAATTCCTTGTCTTGTCCCTCAAGAGACTGAGCTCGATGAGAGGGAAGGATAATTAACATTGGAGCATTCCTAAAACCCAAAGATAGAGAAAGGGTCTGGACTGAGGAATCATTCTTTCATCCTGGTCTCCAACGCCAGCTACAAGAAATAGTTGCCGTGCTCCATTTTCTATCTTGCCAGGCCAATCCACCCCCTCAAAAACATCTATTGGATCAGACACTTAAAAGGCAAACCTCAGCAACAGTGCTGCGTATCCGGTCCACCACCAGCTCAAAATCCACAAGGCTGAAAAGAGGCTGCTGCTTGAGGCGATGCAGCTCTGCAGCAAAGGTGTCTTCTTGATTCTTTAAAATAGATCCTGTGTATCATGGATAGTAGGAGGAGAGACCCTTGGAGCTATGCCATCAACAATGATCCAATTTTCTCATTTGCTATTGCAGAGAACCTAACTACCCAGGGTCTAGTAAATATAGGGCCATAATTTTTGCTCTTAACCACTGGTGCCACTTCATTTGCTTTGAAGATCTCTGACAAGAAGCATCGTGGCATCTTCTTACAATATTTATCTCAGAATATGATGTGCTAGACTGATCACTGCCTTGGCCCATGAGGCACTGGTCAATAGGAGCTGCTCTTGACCAGCTCTTGCGGATGAGACATCAGGGCAGGACTTCCTACCTTTTCTGGTCAGATTCACATTCTGATTCTCAAACATCTGCACAGACTCTCCTACAAACAGGATTTTTTCAGCAACCCTCACTGGAATATAGGAAGGAAGTATCTCCACCCGAAGGGAAAACTGCTTCAGGGACGGGGCCAGCATGTTCTCTTCCTCAATCAGGCGCTAGACAAGGAGATAGGGAGTGACAAAGGAAACAAGAAAGTATGCAGTAACTCTTTATTTATCTCTATCCTTTACATTCTATAGTTAATAGATTAGGACAATAGGGATTTTAAACCCGGGGATGTACAACCCCACCTGCCATAAATCACCAGGTGTGTACTATATTTGCATGGAAGCAGTCTAGCCTAGTGGAAAGGTCAGAAGACAGGAGAGGTACAACACATGGGTGTTCTAGTCCTAGCATGGCCATAACTAGTTTATAGGACTCTAAGTCATTCAACTGCTCTGAGCCTTAGTTTCTTCATCTGTAAAATGAGAAGGTTGGACTAGACCTGTGAAGTCCTAAATCCTATTATGCCTCAGTTTCAAGAATTTACGATTCTTATGTAATGCACTGGCATCTATATAGCGTTTTCTGAATTCTAATTAAGACCCTGAGCTGCATCTAAAAGCTGCTAGGAGGACACGGCTTAAGCAGCACACAGGTGCCACCCACCTCCTAATGGGTGTCAGCGTGGTGTGAAGAGGGCCTCACGACTGCCCAGTCTAATGATTATCACAGACTCACAGATGTGGAGCTGGAAGGGATCTTAAAAGCCATCAAGTCCAACCTCATCTTACTGACCAGGAAAACAAACCCCAGAGAGGTTAAGTCTGCCCCTAGACAAAGAAGCAAGGGAGGCAGGCAGGAGTTGCACTCAGGCCTTCTAGGGATGCCAGCTTCAGTGCTCTTTCCCATGCATCTTGCAAACCTCATTCAGAAAAAGACAAATATTGGAAGACACAGGCTGAGGGAAGTGGCTCAGGCTGCATGGAGGTGGCAGGCTCAGTAGATCATCAGAGAGGGCTGAGGGGCCAGTATCTGTTGGAATGTACTGCACTTCCCATCACGTCCTCACCAGATCCTGAAGTTCTCGTAACTGCTTCCCCGTCAGGCCCCCAATGCCCAGGTCCTCCTCCTCCTCTTCCAGCTGAGCAGAGACCAGACCAGAAGATGGACCCTGTTTAATAAAGAACTCTTCATGTTGGTCCAAGAGCAGGCCATGTAGCATCCAGGCAGAAAGCTGCTTGTACATGACCCCATGGCACACAGCCAAGATCCTAAGTGGAGAAAGGGAAAGAAAAATCGGTGCCATAAAAGCTCTGCAGAGAGCGTTCAAAACCCACAAACACACAGGCCATTCTGGTATATTACGAGAGGGTACTGGCTAAGATCTGAGTAAGAATTTGCTAAGTCATAAGGGAAACTGTCCATTATACTAATATATAATGATTCCATTTTTATTCACATCTTTTTGAATTTACTCAGTCATTAAATTTCTTATAATTAAAGCTCAAATATTAAAGTTTAAAATGTTCTTCAGCTATTTTGACAGCTTCTTTTAGAAAAGAGTTTTTTCATGTTGTTTTTTCTCACCCTCTGTAAAAGTTTCAGAGCAGAAAATTCTTGCTAAAATGAAATGAGATGCGACGAGTTTAGAGAAGTCTGTTTCTCTGCCAGCAAAAGCAGTTTGCTCATTTTCTCTTGTTTCACAGAGGAGGAGGGAATGGATTTGATAGGGGAGGAATGACTCAATTAGAAATGTAGCATTACAAAAACACATGGAAATAGAAGATTAAGCACTTTTTACAAAATTATCTGAAGCATTCCCAAGGCTTTCTTGTACAATAACCAAACATTAGAATTAGAAGGGAACTTGGAGATCACAGAGTCCAATCTTCCACCCAGTACAGAAGCTTAACTTCAAGTTTTAAAGAGGGTAAGATAAAATGGGCAAGATGAGTTGGCTCCCTATCACCTCCAAGATCAAACAGAAAATTCTCTGTTTAGCATTTGAAGCCTTTTATGGCCTGCCCCCCTCCTACCTTTCAGGTCTTATACTCTACTCCTCTCCAAGTACTTTACAATCCAGCAGCTCCTGTCTTCTCGACACCCCTCTCCTAACTCCATGCCTTGTTACGGGCTGTCCCATTGCCTGGGAGGCTTTTCCTTTTCCCCTCCACATGTTGCCTTCCTTGGCTTACTTCAGGACTCAGCTCAAATCCCACCTTTTGCTGGAGGCGTTTCCTGGTCCCTCCCCATTACCATGTACATAGTTGTTTAAAAGTTATTTTTCCCATCAGAAAAGTGAAATCCTTGAGGGTAGGGACTATATTTTTGCCTTTCTTTGTATTCTTCACCTTAGCAAAGAGCCTGGCAAATAGTAAACATTTAATAAAATGCCTATTGACTTACTGATTGAAAATAGCAATTATTTTCAAAGATCTATTCAAATATAGCCAAGCAAAACTCCGCATATATACAATGGTGACTCCCCAAGGATGATGGGATCTGAAAATCAGAAGCACCTTCAAGTCATCCATGCTACTTTACTCTCCTTTGTGTAGTACCATCCTGGAATCTTCTTTATTGGCTAGCATCCTGGCCCCTCCCACTTTGGTCATGTAGACTCACCTGCTTAGTGTCAGCTTTCCTGTCCAACCTATTATTAACTATTCTGGAGAGATCTTAGACAATATGCAAATAAAATGCTCTCGACAAACTGTCAATCCTATTTAAGTTTTTGTGACTTACTTTTCTAGTGCACTGCGTACTGGAGGCAGTCCCCCACAGCTGTATTTGTAGACTGTTTCTAAGATCTGACAGCCATGAATCTGTGGAAAAGATAAACTTGTAAAAACTATACAGCACCTGCTGTAAAAGTTTAAATTCTACATTCAAGTGTGCATGACTTGGCCCCTTTCTACATTTACAGTCCTCTTACACTTCAACAGCAACCCCCTTCCCCTTTTTCCCTACCTCCCCCAGCCCAGTGACACTTGCCTCACTGCTGACACTCTATCCCTGGACTTCAGGCATTTTCCCTGGCTATCACCTATACCTGGAAGGCTTTCTTCCTCACCTCTGCCTCCTAGTTTTCCTGGATCCTTCAAGTCTCAGCTAAAGTCCCCCCTTCTGCAAGATGCCCTTCTGGATCCCCACGTTTGCAGGTGCTACCAGCTACATATTCCATGGAGTTTCAGAAGAGTGGCTGAGGAGGATCAGCCAATGTCCTCCTGAGCCAGATCTGCTTGGGGATATGTGCCTATTCTCTTGCTTTGGAAGAAGGCAGAACTTCTTCTCCAGAAAGATACTGCACAAGAATGTTTAACTGTTTAGAAAACTACAGGTTCTAGATTTATCAGCCAGGAGTGAATATATTAACTCAGAAGTGAAAACACTGCTACTACTGGCACCCCTGTCAGCTTCTCCCAGGAGGAAGCTTTTATCTTTGCGTCTACAGCCAGAAAGGACAACATGGACATGTTGAGCAAAGTAAAGTCTGTTGAAAAATGCAAATCTTTTCAATTTCTGCTGAACCTTTTTCACTCTGCTTTCCTAATTAAAACGAAACAGAGAATGCTAACATGGGACAGGAGAGAAAACTCCATGTTCCCATCCATGATCAACGTTTACCTTGCCTTTCCTTCTCAGGCCTAATTTTATGGTTCCCTCAAACATAACAGTTTGAAGAAATCTATATAGTACAAATCACTAAGCCCAACAATTACTAACATTATTAACCAGAACAAAAGAAGTGCTTACCTTTTGACTCTTAATCTGTTCAACAACAACCATCACAGAGGGAAAAAGAAGCTGGAACTTCAAAAGGCAAAGCAAAGGCTAATTAAGATTGCAGGCAACCAAATGTAAGAGGGAGTATAAACATAAGCTGAGTAAATGAAGGTATTTCTGAATGAAGATAAAGATATCAAGTCCACCCAGAAGAGGAGAGAAAAGGGTCCACTGTTCTGAGCTCATCTTCACTTCCACGGTGGTAGGCAGGGTGAGGAAGGTAGACAGAAACACCTATTTTAGAGACTGGCAGGATAGTTAATATAACGTTAATATGGACAACTTTATTACCAAATATTAAGAGATGATTTATCTTGGGAATTCCTGAAGTAATGCTGATATAGTAAAGCAGATTAAATGTACAAAATAATTTTAGACTCAAATTTTGAATCTGGAAGTAAGAAGGTTCTTCAAAATATCAGATTAGTAAATATAGCCTAAAAGACTGACAGAATAGGTTAAAAGAATCCTAGATATTCCATTATCTATAAAGCATACCTGATCCAAGGAGTAATTGACGTGTGATATGGAAAGGTGAGGGTCAGCAAGGAACTGCAATAAAAAAAAAATTAGAAAAATACCAGAAAAAGAACATTATGAAATGCAAAATGGATAATTCTGATTACACTAAATTGAAAAGTTTTTGCACAAAGCCAACGCACCCAAGATTAGGAAGGAAGCAGAAAATTGGGAAAGAAATTTTACAATTAATGTCTCTGATACAGGCCTCATTTCTAAAATATATAGAGAACTGAGTCAAATTTGTAAGAATACGAGTCATTCCCCAATTGATAAATGGTCAAAGGATATGAACAGGCAGTTTTCAGATGAAGAAATTACAGTTACCTATAGTCATATGAAAAAATGCTCAAAATCACCATTAATTAGAGAAATGCAAATCAAAACAACTTTGAAGCACCACATCACACCTATCAGATTGGTTAACACAACAAAACAGGACAATAATAAATGCTGAAGATGTGGAGTGTTTCAGTAACACTTAAGAAAACCATTTTCTTTCCAATCACTCTCTGCCCCCAACTCTTACTTCACAAACCCAACCCCCTAAGAAAAATAACAAAAAATCTACAGACATCCAGAAGCTGAAGGAGATTTCCTTCCAGGGATGGTCTTTTGCTGCAGCTTGAGTCAAAGAAACATAGATAAATGTGGGTTTTGTTTATTTATTTTTCCAATAAAGCCCTACACTGATGCTGAATTGTAAGTGGAGGTGACTTTGGGCTTGCCTGTAGAGTCTCAGCTATATAGCAGGTCCACCAACTGGGAAAGGATCACAGGAATGGGAGTGAGATAAACACTTTTAAATTATCCACTATAAACCACACACACACACACACACACACACACACACACACACACCCCTCCCCCTTATTTTGGCAAATGAGTAAACTGAGGCCCAGAAAAGTGAAATTAATTACACAGGATCACAAGGCTTCAAGTACTATACAGGCCTGACAATGGATAGTGTATCTGTCAGCCAAATAGCTAGCTAAATTCAAAGAATCTCATAATCAGAAAGCTGACCAACAGGAGATGCATTTGCTAATCAATTACTAGTTATGTGACCCTGGACAAATCATTTAACCCTGTTTGCCTCAGTTTCCACATATGTAAAACAAGCTGGAGGGAAAAAAAAAAAAGATGTAGGAAAACTGAAACACTAATGCATTGCTGGTGGAGCTGTGAACTGATCCAACCATTCTGGAAAGCAATGTGGAACTATGCACAAAGGGCTATAAAATTGTATATACCCTTTGACCCAGCAATACTGCTTCTAGGTCTGTATCCCAAAGAAATCATAAAAACAGGAAAAGGAACCACATGTACAAAAATATTTATAGTAGCTCTATATGTGGTGGCAAAGAATTTGAAATTATGGGGCAGCTAGGTGTAGCAGTGGCTAGAGCTCTGGCCTTGGAGTCAGAAGGACATGAGTTCAAATCTGGCCTCAGACACTTGATACTTACTGGCTATGTGACCCTGGGCAAGTCACTTAACCCTGATTGCCTCACCAAAAAGCAAAAAAGAAAAAAGAATTGGAAACTGAGGGACTGGGAATGGCTGAATAAGTTGTGGTATATGAATGTGAGGGAATACTATTGTGCTATAAGCAATGATGAGCAGGCAGACTTCAGAAAAACCTGGAAAGACTTGTGTGGACTGATGCTGAGTGAAATGAGAAGAACCAGCCACACTGTTCGATGACTGACTTTGATAGACCTGGCTCTTCTTAGCAATGCAAAGATCTAAGACAATTCCAAAAAAATGGAAACTGAAATTTCATGATGAAAAATGCCATCCACATCCAGAGAAAGAACTATGGAGTCTGAATGCAGATGGAAGCATGCTATTTGCTCTCCTTTTCCTTTGCTGTTTGGTTTTATTGCTTCATTCTCATGGTTTCTCCCATTAGTTTTAATTGTTCTTTACATCATGACCAATGGGAAAATAGGCTTAATGTGAATGGATAGGTGGAGCCTATATCAGACTGCACACCATCTTGGTGGGTTGGGGGTGGGAAAAGAGGGTGAGAAAATTTAAAATCAAAGTTGTATGGAAGTGAATGTTGAAAACTAAAATAAATTAATAAAAAAAAAAGAAAGAAAAACACCATCTCAGAAAGTTCTAACGTGTGGTCTAAGAACACTAGATAGGGAGAGGGAAAGAATGGACCTTGTGGTAATTTGAGTGGTTTTAGGTTCCCACAGAGGAACAGGGAAAGTGATACAGGGCTTTAAAACTAAAGGCAAGACTTTCATAGAATACCCTGAGAACCTCTGACAGACACAGAAAGCTTCTCTGATCATTTTATGAGCAATAGCAGAGAGCTTATAGTGTTTCCTGCCTATTAAATATATTTTCCATTTCTGAAACCATGGTTAAGGGAAGACAAGGTATCAGGGGGCATTTCCTTTCCAAGGATGTGGTCTAGTCAGGATATTGGGGGATTCAGGGGCACTGCCTTCTGTTTCTCCTCTTCTTTACCTCACCTCCTGCTCCAAGTCAAGCAGTGCTTGACGATATGGCTGTAGGATTGAGTCCAGACCCGTGCAGAAGGCCCGCAAATAAATTCCATGTAATCCACCCTGGCCTTGCTGGGACAGATGATGATCCTGCAATTAAAAGAAAAGCAAATTAAATTAGTCCCAGTGTTGGGACTTACAGATTAAGTGCTGAACATGGAGTCACAAAGTCCTGAGTTACAATACAGCCTCAATACACTTCCCAGCTGTGTAACCTCATGTAAAATCACCTTTGTCTCCCTCAGTTTCCTCATTTGTAAAATGGGGATAACAGCACTTACCTCCCAGAGTTGTTGTGAGGACCAAATGAGAAAATATTTACAAAGTGATTTGCAAAACCTTTAAGTATTATGTAAATGCTATTATTTTTGTTGTTATTATTGTCATCATTAGTTGTACTATTGATACTTGAGTAACTGTGTCAAATTAGTATTTCCATAAGAAGAAAAAATTTACAAAATAGTTCAGGAAATAGTTTGCTTGCTAACATTGTTGGACCATAAATTTAGAATGGCAAGGGTCCTTGGAATTCATCCAATCCAACTTTCTCATTTCAGAGATGAGGAAAAGGTTCATAGAGGTTAGGCAGACTGTCTAAGGTCACAGAGGTCAGAGGTCATAACACGTAGAACTGGGGACTGAGCCCAGCATTTGGTGTAGTGTGGAAGAGAAACAACTCCTGTGCTGGCTCCAACACTGATTAGGTGAGCAACCAGAAGCAAAGTCACCTCACTGCTCGAGTTTACTTATCTGTAAAATGGAAATAATACATTTATGCTCCCTACTTCAAGGGGTGTTGTCAGGAAAGCACTTTGTAAAGGTTTATATCACTGTGAGTCATAATTCCTGCTCCCACCTTCCTAACTGATCTCATGTTTATTTTAAGCCTGAATCTTTTTACCTTTCACCTTAAGGAAGAATAAAAGCTTTCTGATGCAAAAAGAAAAAAGAAAAAATTCCTCCTCTGATGAAAAAAATCCATCTTCTTTGAGAACTATTAGATTTGCAGAACTGGGATTTTTTTGTTTTTGTTTTGTTTTTCTTTTTGTTAGGCAACGGGGTTAAGTGACTTGCCCAGGGCCACACAGCTAGTAAGTGTTATGTGTCTGAGGCTGGATTTGAACTCAGGTCCTCCTGACTTCAGGGCCAGTGCTCTATCCATTGTGCCACCTAGCTGCTCCTCCTTTTTAAAAAAATTTATTTATTTTTTTTCTTTTAAATTTATTTATTTTAGTTTTCAACATTTACTTCCACAAGATTCTAAGTTTCAAATTTTCACCCCATCTCACCACTCCCCCCACCCCAAGATGGCATGCATTCTAAATACCCCTTCCCCTAGTCTGCCTTCCCTTCTGTTTCTCCTCCCCCTTCTCTTATCCCCTTCCCCTTCAATTTTCCTGTATGGCAGGACAGATTTCTGGACCCCATTTCCTGTATTTCTTATTTCCCAGTTGCATGTGACAACATTTTTTTTTAAACATGTGTTTTTAAAACTTTGGGTTCCAAATTTTCTCCCTTCCTCCCTCCCCACCCAGCATCACTGAAAAGGCAAGCAACTCAATAAAGGTTATCTATGTGCAGTTATGCAAAACACTTCCATAGTAGACATGCTGTGAAAAACTAACTCTACTTCCCTTAATCCTATCCGACCCCTCATTTATTCTATTCTTTCTTTTGACCCTGTCCCTGCTCAGAAGTGTTTGCTTCTGATTACCCCCTTTCCCAATCTGCCCTCCTCTCTACCATTCCCCTACTCTCCTGTCCCCTTCCTCCCCTATTTTCCTGTAGGATAAGGCAGATTTCCACACCCAATTGAGTGTGTATGTTATTCCCTTCTTAAGCCAAATCCCATGAGAATAAGATTCACTCACTCCCTTTCACCTTTCCTTATTTCCCCTCCACTGTAAGAGCCTTTTCTTTTGTTTTTTGTGAGATAATTTACCCCGTTCTACCTCTCCCTTTCTCCTTCTCCCAGTATAATCCTCTCTCACCCCTTAATTTTATTCTCCAGATATGATCCCTTCATCTTCAACTCACCCTGTGCCCTCTTTCTATCTATCTATCTATCTATATATATACATACATATAATTTTTTCCCTCCAACTACCCTAATACTGACAAAGGTCTCATGGGTTATAAATATCATTTTTCCATGCAGGAATGTAAACAGTTCAACCTTAATAAGTCTCTTATGATTTCTCTTTCCTATTTACGTCTTCATGTTCCACTTGAGTCTTGCATTTGAAAGTCAAATTTTCTATTCAGCTCTGGTCTTTTCATCCAGAATGTTGAAAGTCCTCTATTTCACTGAATGACCATTTTTTCCCCTGAAGGATTATACTCAGTTTTGCTGGGTAGGTGATCCTTGGCTGTAATCCTATCTCCTTTGCCCTCCAGAATATTATATTCCCTGCCCTGCGGTCCCTTCATGTAGAAGCTGCTAAATCTTGGGTTATCCTGAATGTGTTTCTACAACACTTGAATTGTTTCTTTCTGGCTGCTTGTAATATTTTCTCCTTGACCTGGGAACTCTAGAATTTGACTACAATATTCCTAGGAGTTTTCCTTTGGGGATCTCTTTCAGGAGGAGATCGGAGGATTCTTTCAATTTCTATTTTGCCCTCTGGTTCTAAAATATCAGGGCAGTTTTCCTTGATAATTTCTTGAAAGATGATGTCTAGGCTCCTTTTTTTGATCATGGCTTTCAGACAGTCCAATAATTTCTAAATCATCTCTCCGGGTTCTATTTTCCAGGGACTGTGTTTCCAATGAGATATTTCACATTGTTTTCTAATTTTTCATTCTTTTGGATTTGTTTTACAGTGTCTTGATTTCTCATAAAGTCACTGGCTTCCAATTGCTCTATTCTAATTTTTAAGGAAGTATTTTCTTCAGTAAGCTTTTGGATTTCCTTTTCCATTTGGCCAATTTTGCTTTTTAGGGCATTCTTCTCCTTAATGACTTTTTGGACCTCTTTTGCCATTTGGGTTAGACTATTTTTTAAGGTGTAATTTTCTTCAGTATTTCTTTGGGTCTCCTTTAGCAAGCTGTTGACTTGTTTTTCATGATTTTCTTACTTCACCCTCATTTCTCTTCCCAGTTTTTCCTCTACTTCTCTTACTTGCTTCTCAAAATCCTTTTTTTGCTCTTCCAAGGCCTGGGACTGATTCATATTTTTCTTGGAAGTTTTGGATGTAGGAGCTTTGACTTTGTTGTCTTCTTCTGGTTGCATATTTTCATCTTCTTTGTTACCAAAATAAGACTCTATGGTCTGACATTTCTTTCGAGGTTTGCACATGATCCCAAACAATTACTTGAGTTATAAACTCTTTATTCAGGTAGCGGTCTGCTTCCAATGTGGAGAATGTACTGTCCCAAGCTTTGGGGGTTTTGTGCAGCTGTTTTCAGAGATACTTCTAGGGACCTGTAAATTTTTAGTTCTTCCAGGGTGGTATAATAAGGGGAGAGGTGTTTACTCCTTTCCTGGCCTGTGCTCTGGTCTATGAGTGATCACAAGCACTCTTTTCTGTCTTTGAACTGTGAGGAGGATTTCTTCTCCACCACCACTACAAGCTCCACCACGCCAGCACTCCTCCTTGCCCCAGGACCACCACCCAGAACTGTGACCCAGATCCAAGCATGGGTAAAGCAAGAGATTCCTGCCTCCGCACTGGCAAAGAGATCCCTGCGATCCCGCTCTGATCAGCCACTCGATTCCCCCTCAGTCTGTGGGCCTGAAGCTCAGGAGGTAGCTACCATTCCAGGGCCACACTTGGAAACTGGGGCTGAGACCTAGCTCACCACAGAAACAGACTTTTCCCACTGACCTTCTAAGCTGCCTTTGGCGTTCCTGGGTTGAGAAGTCTGGAAACAGCCACAGCTGCCTGTGATTCAGTCTTCTGAGGCCTGCTACAGGGTCTCTGCGGCCTGTGCGCCCACGCCGAACTGTGCTCCTCTCCTAGCTGGGCACAATATACTTTTCTGATCAACCATCCAGGTTGTCTTGGGCTGGAAATTTGTTTCACTCTGTCTTTTTGTGGCTTCTGCTGCTTTAGAATTTGTTTAGAGTCATTTTTCATAGGTATTTGGTAGGGTTTGGGGGATAGCTCAAGCAAGTCACTGCTTTCACTCTGCCATCTTGGCTCTGCCTCCGGAACTGAGATTTTTAATTCAAACTTGAGCAAAAGCCCAGCCAGAAGTCTAAGTTTAAAACCAGCCTCCAACTCCCTTCTCTTCCTTTTTCATGTCTAGTATATGCCCCTCAAAGATGTTTTTTTGAGACCAGAGGTTCAGTCGCCTCCTCCAAGGCCACACAGCAAATATGTGACAGAACCAGATCCCCATCCAGCACCGTTCCCATCATGTGAAGCTAATTCTTAAGTTATAGAACAAAAACTCCCAGAAGTTACAGGAAAAGACAATCCAAATAACAAGACATATTTGTAAACAGCCTTAGGTGAATTCCATCCTCCACAGGTTCTGTTTGTTCTCAGGGAGACAGAACTAGGAGCAATAAGTTGAAATCACAGAGAGGCAAATTTATGCTTGATGTCAGGGAAAAAAAAACTCCCTAATACTGTGACCTATCCAAGCAGGGAATGGGTTACCTTAGCAAATAATGAATTCTTCCCCATTAGAGGTCTTCAAGGATAGGCATGTTAGGGTTGTTTGTAGTAAGAGCTTAGGTTTCACCAACCAGCCACTGAGGTCCTGTTCAACTCTGAAATTCAGTGATTCTATTATTGTTACTATTATTATTAATACTTGGCACTATTCTGAACCCGAAAGGCATTCTGCAAAATGTGTAAAAAAAAATCAACACTGTCCTCAAGGGGCTTATATTCCCCAAGAAGCAGACACCTACCTGTTGCTGCACATGACCTGTATATTGTTCAATGAACTCTGTAAAGCGAATATAGTCCGTGCCAAGGCGACAAAGTCGATTCAGGACACTGGTTTCACTGGGATGGAGAAATGGAAAGTCCTGTGACACCTACAAAAGGAGTAACAACATTAAGGACACAGATGCCTCTGATTCATTTGGTACCTTCCCTGAGGATACTCCAAATGCTTTACAGTAATGATAGGATGTTTTTCTCCAAATGTTTTATGATCATATTTTTTTCCTCCTCATTCGTCTTTTGTGAGATGTATTTGTCAGAAGAGTTCTGTAAAACATAACTATTTCCATATTACTGATGTCTTTCTAAAGTGATTACTTTAAATTTAAAAATAGATTTTTTTGGTCCACGTAAATATCATTTAAAAAGGAAATCATGTGCTTATTTTTAAATGTAATTTTCCAATTAACAAGCATTTATTTTCTTTCTTTTCTTCCCCTTCATTAAAAAAGAAAAGAAAAACAAAACCCCTGTAACAAATATGTATAGTTAGGCCAAACAAATTCCTGTACTATCTAGGTCTAAAAAATGTCTCATTCTGCATTTTGAATCCATCACCTGAATGGACTTACATAATTTGGGAGGGGGGAAAGGAAGCTAAGTAACAAGCCAATTCTTTTCCTTCCAAATCCCTTCAGCCTTCCCATCTCTAACATTCCAACACTGAATAAACACCTATTAAGCACCTTCTGTGTGCACATTACTGCTCGAGTTACTGTAGGGGATATGAAGAGGCACACTGACATGCACTAATGGAAACTTTAAAAAAGCACAAATTAAAAGACAATGCAAGACAATAATGTGAAGAAATTAAGCAAAAAAAAGCAAAAGCATTCTCCTCTTCTCAAACCCTATCACTTCACAAAATACCAAAGATGAGAAAGCCTATAAATGAAATGTGTCTTTCTAAGTTGCTAAACTTGGAAAGTTTAGGGAAAAAATCCACCCAAATCACAGGTTAAACACAAAAAATTCAAGAATAAAGAGGAAGAACAATATCAATACCTTCCTCTTGGCTGAGCTCTTCCATTTAACAATCATTTTCTAAGCACCTCTGGGACAGGCACTGTGGACACCAGGCCAAAAAGGCAACCACTTCTGCCCTTAAGGAGTTTACATCATACTGAGGGGCATTGATAAGTAAATACAAAATATATACAAAGTAATGTGTGGAGGGTATCAACAAGTGGGGAAATGAGAAGAGGTATCTTCTGAGCTGAAGCTTGAAGAAAGTCAGGGGTCCCAAGAGGCAAATTGAAAAAGGACAGCCTTTCTGGCATGGGGCACAGCCTGGACAAAGGCATAGAGAGAGGACATGGGGTGTCCTAACCAGGAATAAAAAGAACCCAGTATGGCCCAATATGGATGGAACATCTAGTATCTAAAGGAAAGTAATGTGTAAGCATAGTCAAAAACAAGCTGGAGCCAAACTGGGAAGGGCTTTAAGTGTCTCTGTCCTCCCCCTCAAAAAAGGAAAAGAATTTGAATTTTTTTTCCTAGTGCCAATAAGTCACCATAAAAACTCACAGAGCAAGAGATTGATGAGGTCAGATATATGCTTTAAGACCATTACTTTGGCAGCTCTATGGAGGATGGACTGAAGAAGGGGGAGACCACATGCAAGGAGAATGATTAGAAAGTTACTGCAACATTTCAGGCAGGCACTGGTGAATTTGTATTGGATTTTAGAGGCAACAGGCAGCTACTAATGCTTCTTGAGCTAAAGAGTGGCATGGTCAAACCTACTCTTTAAGGATATTACTTTGGAAGCTCTAAGAAGGATGGACTGAAAAAAGGGAGAGACTTGAGTTAGGGAGTCCAAACCAGGGGCTACTACAATAGTCCAGGTGAGAAATGATGAGGGCCTGAACTAGGATGGCTACCATGAATGGGGAGAAAGGGATGTAGGTAGGAATGTCGCGGAGGCAGAAAAGGTATGACTCAGCAACAGACAGAACACTGGGGAATGGAAAGACTGAAGGACGAATGAAGCATGACTCAGAGCTTCAGAAGTGTAACACACAGTTGGAATTGTGGCACTGGAGCTCAGGACTATATCACAGAGTGGAGAATTATCTGTCAAGGGATAATAATTGAGCCCATGGGAACAAGAGGTGAACACTGTGAAAGTGTAGAAGTAAAGGAGGGTCCAAACTGTGACAAGCACCGTTTAGGGGAGGACATGGATGATGATCCTGCAAAGAGCCTGAGAAGGATGAGTAGAGTAGGGAGGAGGAGAAGCATGACAACAAATACAAACCCAGAGAAGAGAAAGTATTCAGAAAGAGGAGGCAGTCAACAGTGCAAATCATTACCTGATTATTACTATTATTACATGATTTATATTTATAAAAACAAGATTTATCATGACTTCTTTGGGGGATCATGTCTGGTGAAAACTAAAGACCCCTTCTCAGAATAAAGTTTATAAATATGCAAAATAAAAAGCATAGGATTGCAAAGGGAACTAATTACATTGAAAAAGTTACCAAACTATTAAAAAAAACAAGTTCACGGACCCCAAATTAAAACTCTTTGAAGTAGATGATTTGGCAATGGTGAAGAGAAGGGCCACCTCTCCCTCCTTGACTATTGTAAAGGAGAAGATAACCCTGATATGATTTGAAGTAAATAACGGAGGAGAAGAGGAAACTCATGATGGACAGCTCTATTTTTTTTAGTGAAGTGTGAGTTGAGACCCCCTGTTTAGAGGGAGCAGGGAAGGGGTGGTAGAGAGGTATAACAGGTCAATCAGAAGCAGAAGTTCAGGCCCAGCTAAGATTAGGTAACATCCATTTGTGGAAGACCTAATTATCAGTGTTGGGACTTCCTCTAGCAGCATTCATTAGCATGCAAATAGGAGCAGATAATCAATCAGCAAGTATTTATTAAGTTCTCATTACACTTGGCAGTGTGCTAGGCAATGAAAAATAGTCCTTACCCGAAAGGAGCTAACATTTCACTGGAAAGACACAACATATTTGCATATAAGTAAATACAAAATGTATACAATATAATTTTTCAGGGGCAGCACTAGCAGCTGGTGGCAGGGAGCATAGAAGAGAGAAGGCCTTATGTAGGAGATGGCACGTAAGAGATATAAGGGAGGAGGGAAGGCCTCCAGAGTACATACAGGGAAGTCTTGTAAAATCATTCTGGAGTTAGATTGTAAGGGTGTTCAATGCCAAATGGAGAAGTTTCATCCTAGAGCCAAGTGAGAGCTATGAACACTTCTCGAGCAGGGGAGTGAAATGATCAGATCTGTACTTTTAGAAAGAGAACTCTGTGGAAAATGGGTTAAAGAGGAAGCTTTTGTAATAACCTAAGTGAAAGGCGATGAGAGCCTGAGCTAAACTGGTTTGAGTGTGAATAGAAAGAAAGAGAAGGATGTGAGAGATGTAGAGGTAGAACCAACTGATTAGACATAGAGGTTAAGGGAGAAGGAAGAGCGAAGGCTGGATCTGGGGTTGTGAACCCGGGTGACTGGAAGGATGACAGCACTTCTGAGAGAAACTGGGAAGTTAGCAGGAAGAAAGGCAGGTTTAGATGTGAAGATGAGTTCTTTTTTGGACACTTTGAGTTTGAAACGCCTATGGAACATCTGGTTTAAAATATCTAATGGTCAGTGTGTGATGTGTCTATGGAGGGAAAGAGAAGGACTAAAGGCTAGACATATAGATATGATGTCTTCAGCACAGAGATGATAATTAAACCCACGGAAGTCTACGAGGTCACTGAGAAAGAATACAGAAAGAGAAGAGGGCACAAGCACACCCACATTTAGGGATCATTACATGACTGGTGAGGAGTCTGAGGAGTGGTCAGACACGTAGGCAGAAATCACAGCATCCTAAAAACTAAAAGAGAGATGAAGAGTCCAGGAGCAGGGGGTGGAGGAGTGGGAGGTAAAATGTCAAATACTGAAGACAGGTCTCAAAGGATAACTGATAAAAGGCCACTGGATTCGTCAGTAAAGAGATCACTGGTAACTTTAAAAGAGTGTAGTTTCAGTTGAATGATGAGGTCAGACGATAGGTTGCAAAGGGTGAAGAATGAAAAGAGGAAAAATATAGGCACAGCACAGGCAGCTTTTTTTAGGAGTTTGGGAAAGGGAGGAGAAAGAGTAGGATGATAGTTTGAGGGTATGGTTGGGTCAAGTGATTTATTTTTAAGGAAAGAAAAACACAGATGTGTAAAGCAGGGAAGAAGACATACAGGAGCTGAGAAGGAAGATACTGGAATTAATCCTGCCTGGGTTGGGGTTTGGAAAAGGATGAATAGTGAGGGGACAAGGGGGCAGAAAATTCAAAAGTAGAGGAAAGTATAAACTGAACAGATTAACTACAGGGTCAAGATTTTGAAGGGAGGGAGGTGAAGCAGTGATGTCTTTCTGCATCTCAGTTTCCCCGTCTTTAAGAAGTTGGACTAGATGCTTTTTAAGGTCCTTTTCCATCTCTAAGTCCAATGAATGCCTTTTACATTCCACCCAGGGAAGACAGCCATTCCTCTGCTTCATTTCTGAATTCTTATAAACTGGGAATATGATTTTTGCCTTTCATTATTAGCCTACGCTTTTTCCAAGGCTGGTTATAATAAAAACTAATACTGGATTTGGAATCAGATCTGGGCTCAAATCCTGGGGCAACCATTGAGTACTTGGCCTCAGTTTCCCAGCTTTACATTTATGATCCCATTGCTATTCCTATGGCATCAGGATCAGCTGAAGTTCCCCGGAGAAGAATCACCAACTGATATTTCATTTTCCTTCAGGGGTGTGAGGAACCACAACCCAGGAAGGAGCTCCTGGAGACCTCCCACATGCGGCCAGCTCTGAAACTGCTACAAATGTAAACGTGGGGCATACGTGACCCTCACCTGCGGACACTGGAGTTGTGGGCAGTACCCCCTCCTCCCCCGCCCTAGCCCTCGGAATCTTTGACCCTCCTTGGTTGTTTAGTCGTTTTTCAGTCGAATTCGACTCTTCCTGACCCCATTTGGGGTTTTCTTGGCAGAGATACTGGAGTGCTTTGCCATTTCCTTCTCCAGTTCATTTTACAGATAAGGAAACTAAGGCAAACAAGGTCAAGTGACACAGCCAGTAAGTGTCCAGGCCCTTTTAATTCTCTTCAGCCCCTCTACCCTGGACCCCTTCCTCTTCCTCACTCCCCTCTGTAGCCATGGCCCCGCCCCGCCCCATTTCCATTCAGTACCCGGGGCCCGGTCCTCCGACCCCTCCCGCCTTTTCCAGGCCCCGCCCCCTCATTAGCGGCTCCCCATGCCCCGCCCTCTATTCCTCTCCCGCAGACCCCGTAGTCCGTCAACGCCCTCCACTCCCAGGGTCCCGCCCCCGTGACCTCCTCACTTCCCCAGGTCCCGCCCCGAGCCTAAACACTGGCACTTTTAACTCCGCCCCCAGCTTTCACTCCGTCGTTGGAGTTCCAATTAGCGCTCGCTTTAGGATGAGACGTACCTGGAGGCCGCTCCGCTTGTTCCAGGTGAAGATGGCGCCCGGGTACCCGCTCAAAGCCAAGAGCAATTCGTGGATCATCCCTACGGTAGGCAGCGGGCGGCTGAGACAGCGTCCGCGGGCCCTGGGGGAGGAGCACCGCTCCAGCCGCTGGGCGCAAGGCCCGCTGGGGAGTGTAGTTCCGGTCAAACCAACTAGCTGGGAAAGACAATTTCTTCGGGAGAAAGCGAAGAAGCCACCGGCCAGCGCGAGGGCTTCCTTTTCCCCGCCAATAGGATCCCGGAAGTGTTCGCGTAGCTTGGTGTAATCGACCCCGTTCGCGTCTAGTCCACCGAGCTCTCTGGGAGACGTAGTCCAGGTAGCGGCCTTGGCGCACGCGCCCTAAAGTCCTCGGTGTCTCCCGCGCGGACTTCCGGTTTGGGAGCTGGACTGGGAGACTGGAGAGCGGGGGCCGGGGCCGGAGCGGGAGCGGGAGCGGGAGCGGGTGAGGCCCGCCGGGAGGCGGGGACCGGACTGGGCTGGAGGGGAGCGGGAGGAAGAGGCGGGGGTGGAGAGAAGCGGTCAGATTCTGGAGGCAGGCCGGGAGAGGGGTCCCTGGGGCTGCCCTCAACCCAGTCAGTGACCGTCTAGGGACGGGACAACGAAGCCAAGAGTGACCCGGCTGGAGGGAGCCGAGACAAAGAGGCCGAACCCCGGGCGCCCCCTCCTCTCCCGAACCCCGATCTCCCTCCCCCACTGAGGCTCCGGGACACCCTTGGTGCCCTCGCCAGGATCCTATCCCCCGTTTCGGAGCGCTTCACCCCTCTGAAGTCCCCCCGTCAGCTTTGTCACCCCCAGCTCAGGGTGACCCTCCAAGGACCACCCAGCCCCGGCGAGGGACGGGAGCTGGAACACTCGTCTCCCGGGGCTGATCCTTCCCCTGCTGTAGCCGCAATGAGCCGGGACCCTGAGGTTACCGAAACGAGAGGAAAACAAAGACGAAATTTTCATTTATTGATTGTTGCCTGGGGAGGTGGTGAAAGTGGAGCTGAGGGGGGCGGGGCAGGCGCAGAGGGCTCTGGGAGAGGTTCGGGATTGGGGCGGGCGGGCTGTGAGGGACCAGCTGCTTGGTGCTCGGACCAAGGTTTTCTGCTGCCCCCACTGGAATCGTCCCTTCTCCTCCTGTCCCTTTGGCTTCTAGGCATTCATTATGATTCTGACCCACCATGTGATTGGAGGTGCAGTCAATAGGACTTGGAATTGGAGGAGGGGCGTATAACAGGAGACACAGCACAGTTTACTCTGTTTCAGACTATCCTACAAGCCAGACTGGAAGTGCAGCTTTTAGGCTGCGTTGCTTACTGGTTCTTGATCCTGGATGCTTTTGCCCAGGAGAGTGCTCTCTAATTCAGCTTGTTTCTTCAGAGCATGTAAATTGGCAGGCTAGTCCTATGAAGACTTTGGATGAATGGGTGCATCCTTTTGACGTTGCCATTTCTCTCTGTCATAGGGAGAAACTCTTTTCACAGGTATGCAGGTGCAGTGGTTTCCCCACGGATAGATAGGAGACAAGTAGAAGCCCTGGCTTCCAGACCTCCAGCTGATGTCAAACTGCGTTCTACTGTGAATGATGGCCAAATCCACACTAAGAGGCGATGGGGGAAACTCTGAGACCTTCCGACAGCGTTTCAGGAAATTCCATTACCAGGAGGTGGCTGGGCCCCGAGAAGCTTTCAGTCAACTCTGGGAACTTTGCTGTAGATGGTTAAGGCCAGAGGTTCGCACCAAGGAGCAAATACTAGAGATACTAGTACTGGAGCAATTCCTAACTGTCCTACCTGGGGAGATTCAGACCTGGGTACAGGAGCAATGTCCAGAGAGTGGAGAGGAGGCTGTAACCCTGGTGGAAGATTTGGAGAGAGAACCCAAAAGACCAGAGTGCCTGGTGAGAAGGGGGGAATTCAGAAGCATAAATGAGAAACCAGGGTGAGGGACCAAATTAAAGTAGAAACGGGGAAAAAATAAGGTCATCTCTCTCTCTGTGTGATGCCTGTTATTTTTGGCCATATAGACAAGTGACATTTCCTTGAGAAGGAGACTGGAGTACTCATTTGACTAATCCTCAATCTACTACGACAGAATGTTTCAGCAGTTTCTTGTGCCATGAATAAAAGGAAAGCATTGTTTTGAACTTCATTATTAAGTTTAGGATCTTGATCTCTCCTTTCTAAAGCTCTTTGCTGCCTGGGGAATAGAATATATGTGGTTCCTTCCCTTATTCTCTAATCATGCCCCTGTAGGATGATCTTTTACTTCAAGTATTTATCTTTGGAAACCCATCCTATTCTCGCTTTTCATTGAGAATTGATGACTGTTTTTTTTAGGTCACTGTCCCTGTGAAAGGACAGGAAGTTCGACCAGAGAAGATGGCACCTCTGAGATCACCTCTGGAGTTACTAAGTGTCCAGCAGGAAGCAGGGGAGTCCCAGCCCAAGGTTGTGTCCAAGAAAGAATGGGCAGGTTGCTCAGAACTAGGACCACAGGAACAATTTAACCTAAAAGAAAAGCTCAGACCTCATCCAACGACTGGTAAGAAATACAGGTTCATTTAAGGAAAAGAGGAAGACATCTTAAGAGAGCTGACAGTGAATGGGTGAGGGGCTCTCAGGGAGATTTTGGGAAATTTTAGAATTAAGTAGCTGTTAGAGACCACCAGAAGTTCACCCTTCTGCCACCTTGAATTTCTACACGACCCACCTGAGTGATCTTATATTCTTTTATAAATTACCATAAGTGTTTCCCAGGGCTTTTTTTCAGAATTTAGGAACTTATTTTCTTTTGCTTCATCTATGTAAAAATAGTATTAGTTCACTGTTATCAATATAATAATCATTTTGTGTTTTTCCGACATGTCCCTTTTAGGCTTTTCCCCTCTTAAGTTGAATTTTTCCTTAAGGTTTCCATTTCCCTGAATCTTTATTTTTGCTGCTTTTCCCTGGAACTGGTTCAAGTTTTCTACATCTTAGTTTGTTTGTGAGGCCCCAAACTGAAATACTCTATTGAGAGTCTGACAAATATAGGTTTGGCAGAAGGTCCTAAAGGTCTTATGTATTGTATCCATTCCCCTATATAACTCCCATTGTTGTGCTTATGTAATCATATTACCTGGTAAATTTTCATGCTGCTTCAATTTTTTTGTTGTTGCCCTTGTGCCTAGTTGGTCATTCCTTACCTTTGAATTTGTATAACTTGTTTTTCCTCCTTGTACTCTATTGAACTACGTCCTGTTTATTTTTAATCACCTCTCCAGCTTAAGGCTATTTCAGCATCTCATTCTTTCTTACAGATTGATAGCAGTTGTTTGCTAGCCGCAACCAACTTGGTGTCATTTATAGGCTTAGAATTGATGTTCCTTAGTCATTTCAGACATGTATGAAAATATGAAATAGCATTTTGGTTTACTTGTAGTAGTACTACAGAATTAAAAATGAATAATTTGGTCATCTCCTATGGGCTTTTGTATTGGGTGAGGCACTGTGAAAATACAAAGGGTATAAAATAGTAATTGCCCTCAAGGAGCTTGTGTTCTAGTTGAAAAACAAAGATTGGTTATATGAAACAGTGGCAAACAATATAAAACAAATAGAAAGTGCTAGAAGGAAGATAGGCTAGAAAAGATAGAAAAACCTTTCATGGAGAAGATGGAGCTTTAAGGATAGTTAATACTAGGCAGAAAGGAAAATGGAAGACATTTCAGGTGGGAGGAACAATAAGAAACAGAGGCAGGAAGGATCACTCGGTGTTCCCGAAACAGGAAGGAGATCAGATTGTTTTGATTGGAGAAGGAATTTTGAATAGTTGAAAAATAGGTTAAAATAGGTTGGATTGATGGGTGGCTGCAGAATATAGAGGACTTTAAGAAGTAAGCAAAGGAGTTGATATCTCCCACGGCAGGAGCCAATGAAGGTTTTAACAAGGGAGTGACATGGAAGCAGTGTTTAAGAAAGGTTAGTCTGGCAGCAACATATAGAATGGATTGGAATAGGGAAGAGCCTGAAGTCTGGGAGGCTGGCTAAGTGGCTGTTGGTATAATCCTGGTGTGAGCTGATGATGGCTTCCTAGGGGTGGGGAACCTGCAGCCTCAAAGCCACCTGTGGCCTTTGTCCTCAAGTGCAGTCCTTTGACTGAATCCAAACTTCACAGAACAAATCCTTTTATTTACTTATTTATTTATTTATTTATTTTTAACAAATCCTTTTATTAAGGGCCACATGTGGACTCCAGGCCGCAGGTTCCCCACCCCTGGTTAGTCTAAGGTAGTGAAAATAGAAATAGGAAAGGACAGACATCAGAGACATTTCAAAATACGCAAATTTGGAGATTGACTAGATACAGTGATGAAAGAGAAGACATGGGTAAGTTGAAGATAGCCCTAAGAATGTCAGTTGATGTACACTCCCTTCAACCCAATGATAATTACTCTGAATGTAGTTTTCTAACCAGATGTAAAAACCACACTAGATTGGAAGTGACCATTCTTATCACTGCTGGATGGTAATCAGTGCATAGGAGCTACTATAGATGGTCACGGGTCATACGTTTGAGGGTTAAGGAGGCATAAGGATGGGCTCCAGGAGGCTAATAAGGGCCTTTTCTCTCTTTATCCCTGCTATGATGTCATTCTGTCCCCTCATAACAAAATCCTGCTATTCTTTGAAGTTTCAGATCCTTAAATTTTTTTCTTTTTTTTTTTTGTTTTTTGTTTTTTGGTGAGGCAGTCAGGGTTAAGTGACTTGCCCAGGGTCACACAGCTAGTCAAGTGTCTGAGGCTATATTTGAACTCAGGTCTTCCTGACTCCAAGGCCAGAGTTCTATCCACTGTGTCCCTGGATCCTTAAATTTTGTTTAAATCTCTGTATACCACTGGACCCTTTCAGGATGTCTCTGGATATTTTTCTTATAACTGTCTCTATTCTTAGTGGATAAAGAGGGTCGTGTTGAGCCTATTATCAGTACAAACCATGATATCCTTTGTTTGCTTCCCTATGAGCAGGATTTCCTTTTCCCAAATCTGGTATGGTTTCTGAGGTGGAGCGAGGAGAACCATGGGTCTCAGATCTTCTGGGCTCCAAGGAGAGGGAAATCTCAAGAGGCAGTCACACAGGTGACAAACGAATGCACTCTGATTTTATGCCATCAAGGAAGGAAAGAAAACACTGGGGAGACCAGGAGCAGTGGGGCTTTGAGGATGAAAAGGTAGCTGGTGTGCACTGGGGGTATGAAGAAACCAGGACTCTACTTGCAATTTTAAGTCAGACTGAGTTTTATGAAGCCCTCCGGAACTGCCACCGTAATAGCCAAGTGTATGGAGCTGTTGCTGAGCGACTTCGGGAGTATGGCTTTCTCCGAACACTTGAACAATGTCGGACCAAATTTAAAGGCCTCCAGAAAAGTTACCGTAAAGTCAAGAGCGGCCATCCACCTGAGACCTGTCCCTTCTTTGAAGAGATGGAAGCCTTGATGAGTGCCCGAGTCATTGCTCTACCCACCAATGGCCTGGAGGAGGAGGCAGCACCTCGACCCAGCCGGGCGGCCAGTGATGCTGAACTGGAAGAGCAAGAGCAGGGAGGCTGGCGGCAAGAGGAAGCAGCAGACGAGGCTGTGGCTGAAGATTCCGATGGGGATGAAATGGGTATTGAAACAGCCCCCCAGGAGCCTGGGAGCCCCAATGCGCCAGTCCTTTTCCGAAGCCCAAGTGGTAAGATTCTCTTTCTTCTTGGGGTCATGGTAATGAAATTAAGGCAATTTCTGTAGGAAATAGGACTATGCTAGAAGGTAGGATATGCGAAATCAGTTCCTTGCTTTTTACGGTGACTAGCAATTATTTCTGTGTTTTGTGTTTGTTTCACTCTCTATGGGAAAAGGATTGATGAAAAAATAGACTGAGCTTTTCGGAGAGTTTTTGGATGAGAGAATAGTGGTTCAAAGTAATGTAGTGAATGCATATCCTTATAACCTTGACTTACTAGGATTATGACTGCCAAAATGACCTTTGCTCTTCTGTTTCATTCTTTCCCCCCCTTTGATTTCATTGGTGTAGAGAACTCCCATCAGGAACTTCCACCAATGCCCATCAACTGGTTTGCTGCTTAGTTTCCTGGGAGCAATGAGGGTTTTAAGTGACTTGTCTGGGGTCATGCAGCCAACATGTCTCAGAGGCAGGCACTTTTCTGAACCAATGTTATGGCGTTTCTATATATATTACTCCTATATTTCTTTTCTTAATTTTTTCTTTCTTTTTCTCCACAATTCCCCCCACCCCCCTTTCATTATATTGTTTTCTTTTGCTGTATTATACTTGTTTGTAATAGAATGGTGTAATGGAAAATGCTATGGATACTAATGGATTAGAAGTTAGGAGAACAAGATTCTAGCCCCAGCTATCACAACTAGGTAGGCAACTTTAAGCAGGTGACTTAGCCTTTCTTGTCATTGGTTTATTCAATTATAGTAATAGCTAGCATTTATATAGGATTTTAAGATTTGCAAAATGCTATCACAAATATATCATTTATCCTCACAGCTCTGGGAGGTAGGTGCTATTATTATTATTCCCATTTTATAGATGAGTAAATTAAGGCAGAGGTTAAGTGACATGCCTAGGGTCACACAGCTGGTAGGTGTCTGAAACAGGATTTGAACTTGGATCTTCCTGACTCTAAGTTCAGTGGTCTATCCACTGTAGCACGTAGCTGTTAAATCACTTGGAATAAACGATTGTTGGGGCTCCTTCCATCTCTAAATTTCCATGATTGTGATATGTTCTTTGCCTTAAACCCTCTCATCCTTAGAACTTTATTTTTTGGTTCTCTCCACCCCTCAACCCCATCATTCTCTTTTTACCCTTTCTCCCCTACTTTTACTGATTTTAACTTTTTCTCCTTTCCTTTTCTACTATTCCCTCAACATATCTGTTCTGTTTCCTTTCTGTTTTTACCAGCAAATGGGAGAGGGACTTCAAAATTCAGATTATTCCATGTATAGAGGTCTGAATTACCAATGGGTAGATTTTTCTTTCCCTCCTTAGTCAAGATTCCTTCTCATCTGCCATCAGCCCTAAAATTCTACCCCATAATGCTATTGACTCTTGAGAAGTTTGGCAAGGAGGAAGCAGTGATTAGGCTTCCCTAATTTTGTTCTCAGTCTGGAGGAAGAGTCTTTATGTTTCCATCTCCTCCCTGGAAGCCCTCGGAAAACAGATGGTATCAATATCCTCATGTCTTCCTGTCTGCTGTGGCAGCTTAGAAGCTGAATCTGCAGTCTAAGCAAATCACTAACCAAAAAAAAAAAAATCTTATTCATAGGATCTGTTTTCCTTAGCAGATTCCTGTGAATAAAGTGTTCCTAAGGAGAAGGGGCAAGGTTGTAATGTGTCCATTAGGGATCATGCTAAGTCCCCACACCAAATGGTTTATTGTCCCAAATTGGTAGTTATTTGAAGGGCTGCAGTGCTGGGATTTAAAGGCAAAATGGTCCTGTACCTTGAAGCACTGGTAGAAGCAGTATTTTAGTGGTCTGAACTCTCCTTTGGAAATATGAAATCCTAGAGATAATGATGAGGGTAGTAGAAAAGAGGATGTTTAGAGTAGTGCATAGAGGCCCATCATGATAACAGGAATTAAATTTGAGTCTGCCCCTAATCAATTGATCACTTTGTATTTAGAATCAGATTCCTACTAGGGTAATACAATTATCTATGATTGTGCCATGTACAGAAGAGTTGGTCAAGGGGTCAGATAGGAAAGCCCTCCCTTATTACAGATAAGCAAACTAAAAGATCAGTTTCTGTTGAATTACTATCAAATTCAGCCCTAACAGGGGAGTGATTTTGTCAGATTTTGTAACTTAAAAGAAAAAAAACTTATTTTTAAAAAAAAACTTTTTAAGCAACTCATTTAAAGTCTAATTCCAGATGATTTTTCTAAGGAAGCAAATGGTAGAATTGGGAAACTGAGGTGGCAAAGCTAAGTGTCTTAGAACACTGAACTTTCTCTCTGGGTGGCAGGTGTACACTGGGGCTATGAAGAGACCAAGACTTATCTTGCAATTCTCAGTGAGACTCAGTTTTATGAAGCACTCCGGAACTGTCATCGTAATAGCCAATTATATGGGGCAGTGGCTGAGCGGTTATGGGAATATGGTTTCCTAAGGACACCAGAACAGTGTCGGACTAAATTTAAAAGCCTCCAGACCAGCTATCGGAAAGTCAAAAGTGGCCATGCCCCTGAGACCTGCCCCTTCTTTGAGGAGATGGATGCCTTGGTGAGTGCTCGGGTTGCTGTCCCACCTAATGATGATCTGGAGGAGGAAGCAGCACCTCGCCCTGTCTTGGGGGCCAGTGATGGTGAAGTAGAAGAGCAAGACCAGGAAGGCTGGCAGCAGGGAGAGGCAGCTGAGGAGGCCTCAGCCACAGCAGAAGACTCTGAGGGTGAGGAAGGGAGCGCTGAGGAGGCACCTCGGAGTTCTAGGAGCCCTGGTGCTCCAGTACTGTTTCAAAGTCCAAGGGGTAAGATAAACTTTATTCTTGGGGCCTGGATGTACAGAAAAGGCAATTATGATGTAGAGGAAAAAGCATAAAGCTAGGTTCCAGGAGACTTGGGTTCTACTCCCAGCTCTTCTGAGTTTGTGAACACCTTCACTCTTGCCTCAGGTTCTAATCTTTTAAAATCAAAAAGCCCTTCCTAACTCACAGAGCTTCAGGGCAGTGTTAATATTATTCCCTAGTGCATTCTGTATATTCCAAAGACAGCATCATCTTGAGGAATTCAAGCCACAAAGGCTGGGAAATAGTAGCTGAGTTTTTTATGTCACCACCTCTGTATGGGCTGGCAGGCAGCAGGGCAATGAAAGGAGTCTCTAATATCTCATTGTGGACAGCATGTTCGTTCATCTCAGGTGTACGTCCTAGCATGAAGATGATTTTTAAAGTTCGTTGTCATCTAAGTGTGTTGTTTTCTTCCATCAGCTTGACTCAGTTTCTGTTGCCCTTCCCTGCCTTGCACTCACATCCTCTTCTAAAGAGGAGATTTAGGGAGATTCTCTCTGACTGTAGTATTTATATACAGTCTCTAGAACCTCCCCATGATTGGGGAAATCAGAAAAATAGAGGCTAGGTTATGCTTAAGCTTAGCACAAACCATTAATCTTGTCAGAACTAGACAAACTTTTATTAAGGATCCCAGGCTGGAGCATTCCAGCTACAAAACATCAAGAGTCTAGATGTTGGGATGTTCTGCAAAAGATGCTTGAATAGTTTTGTACATTCTGTCTATGAACAGGGCTAAGAACTGAGTAGGGTTTCCTGAATAGTGTGAACCCAAAACATTCTGGCAACTCATCTTTCTCCCGCTTTGATGTGTTCTAAAAAAACTGATTAGCAGAACACCTGGGCGATTTTTACACTTACGTGATTTTTTTCCCCCTAAATTTAAGTGTGATTTTTTTTTAAGTTTCACTCTTAGAATGCCCTTTATTAGATTATAGGCTCCTGAGGACAGAGATTATGGTGCTTTTTTAATGTATCTCTAGTTCTGTGCATATAGTAGGTACTTAATCATGTTGTTTAAGTTGAATTAGAATTCATCAATTTCTGAGTATTCTGCTATCCCCTCCTTGTTCCTAGCACGTCATTAGTTACCACTTTAAGGGAAAGGAGCCCATGTACCGCTTTCTGGACACAGGAAGAATGTACCTGGGCAAAGAGAAGGTTTGGGGATTTGTGATCATCAGATATTGAGCTTCTGTGGAAGGTTTGGTACTAAACAAAGTCAGAATCAGGGAGGCTCTTTGTTTCTTGCAACAATTGACATTTCCCCAACAGTTACTGCTATTCCCAAACCCAGTGAGATTGCCTTACTCTACAGTAAAAAGAGTTATAGATCTCAAGTTTTTAGAATACTCCCCCACCCCTGCAAAATAGTACAATGAGAAGCCAATAAGAGTTTCTCTAAAAGAGAAATAAAAATTCTAATTCTTATGTGAGTTGAAATTCAATTGGGAGATCCTGCTCCCAAATTAATTTTGTTAATTTAATTTTCACTTTTGCTTCTCCCTGGTTTTCTTATACTTTGACTTGAAGAACTGAGGGAATGGATGACTTCTGGAATTCTATTCATTCTTTCAGGTTTTGAGGCTGGATTTGAGAACAAGCAGAACGCAAAACGGGATATTTCTGAGGAAGTAGAACTGCACCGGACATTACTTGCAAGGTCTGAAAGGAAAATTCCCCATCATTTTAATCAGGGAAAAGATGATGACAGTGACTGCAGGACAGGAAGGCAATGGACAAAGCCCCCAGTGGAAAAAAGAGGAAAACTGACACCTCCAGAAAAGGGCTTAGGAAAAATCCTAAGTCATCAAAAACCTTACTTGGGCGAGAGACCCTATAAATACCTTAGATATGGAAAGAGCTTTGGTCCAAATTCACACCTTTTCATGCATCAGATACCCCACCAGGTAGAGAATCCATATAAATGTGGAGACTGTGGGAAAAGTTTCAGTCGAAGTGCACGCCTCATTAGACATCGGAGGATACACACTGGTGAAAAGCCTTATAAGTGTCTTGACTGTGGGAAAAGTTTCCGTGACAGTTCAAATTTCATCACTCATAGGAGGATTCACACAGGAGAGAAACCCTATCAGTGTGGTGAGTGTGGAAAACGATTCAATCAGAGTTCAAGCCTTATCATACATCAGAGAACCCACACTGGAGAAAAACCTTATCAATGTGAACAGTGTGGGAAAAGCTTCAATAATAGCTCTCATTTTAGTGCACACAGGCGAATCCACACAGGCGAAAGACCCCATGTGTGTCCTGATTGTGGGAAAAGCTTCAGTAAAAGCTCTGACTTACGGGCACATCACAGAACCCACACAGGAGAAAAACCCTATGGATGTCACGAATGTGGAAAATGTTTCAGCAAAAGTTCAGCCCTTAATAAACACCGAGAAATCCACACAAGAGAAAAGCTTTTATCACAGTCGGAACCTAAGTAAAAACCTGAGAATCTACAAAGAGGCTTTATAAGTGTATTACTTGGGAAAACGTCTTCTAATAGAGATCCCATCTCCAATGCCCACCTGGCTTAGGAAATCACCTTTAAGATTTACCCCATTATGGTGCTCCTTATCAGTCTTCTGAGTCTAAAGCCACAATGCCAAGGCAATAAGATCTAAGGAACAAAGGCCAGATTTAGATATCATCCTAGCTCTGCTTCTGACTTGACAAAGTTCCTTGCCCCCTCTCAGTGCCTATGTCATTCCTTCAAGAAAAGGAGATGATCCTGTGAGTTAAAGTTATCCCTGTCATTGATCATCCCGTCGTTTTACTACATTTTTGACTGGAAACATTTTAGCACCACAAGGGAAAGATGTTATGGATTTAATCTCATGATTCCAGGTTTACTCCCCCCAGAAAACAAGGGAAATACTGAAAGGAATGGAATGACTCTTGTTCATGTAAACCAGTACTCAGAATGATGTGACTGAATTTTAAAGTCCCCCTCTCCTTTACCCTTAATGAAGATGAGTTTAGTGTCCCTCTTGGTCATGTCTGACGAATTGTCTTGTTAAGAATGTAGGTGTTATTTATAGGGGAGCTGTTACCAACTGTGTAAACTTGAGGTGTCAGCCCTGGATGGTTATTCTTTAGTTTCCTTCAACCCTCAGATGGTTCTGAGTAGAAAGAATTCTTGTACTTATAGTATCTAGTTTTCTTATTTCCCTTCTGTCCCATCTCATCTGTATTTCAACTGTCCCTTGTAGCCCCAAAGAGCAAGCCAGCTGAGCAGAGGGTGGATAGGATGGGGCATTAATAGGGATTTTCCATATCCTTGTATTCAGTTCAACTAGTACAGTATTACACACCCTGTGGCTGCTAAATACTTGACTAATAAGCAGAAGACATTTACTGTGTTACTATTTACTGGGAACAGAGTCCACCAGTGCCAATAGCCTGATTAAAGATAAATTATCTTTACCAGGTTGGTGGGGTTGCCAATATGCATTCAGTATTTTAAAAAAAGATACATGGGATATGGAACACTTAAGAACAAGTCTGTTTACTGCTGCTTATCAAATAGTATTAACTGTACAAGTGAGCATAATACTGTTGTGGGCCAGATATAAAATGAGGTAAACAGATTTGGGCCATATCCTCTGGGATCCTACAGTCTAAAAGTAGGTAACTTTGACACAGACATCAGATAATCCTCAAATGCACATATGTAGTATGTGGCAGATACAAAACCATTTAGGACATAAAACTAGAAAGTTAAGTATTTACGAGTTTGGTGCATTGCAATGCAGTGTCAGGAAAGGTGCTGGGAAATACCGATTCCATTTAGTAAGTTAACAGATAGTCTTTTGAAGGGAATAGGAGAGGGAAAAAATTCTCAAAGTGGAAGTGGCCCACAAAAAGGTAGAGTTTTGTGACTGGAAAAGGTCTAAAAACTGGGAAGCAGAGTGTTTAGTATGGCTAGAGAAAAGGAAATTAGTTGGACTGTGGGGAGGTAAGAGATGATTCAGTTGTCAGGGGGTACTAAGAACCAGAGTATAGTAAATTTGACACCATTGAAGGGCTTTTAAAACTGTGTAGTAGAAGAAAAGAAATGACCTTAAATGAGACTTGAAGGTGTGCCAGAGGCAAAGAAGCCAGAGGTGCAATAATCGATTATCTGGCATATCACTGGGGATATAGGACAGCTTCCAGTATAGAGTAAGAATGATCTTATTTGGAAAGCCAAGAAATCAGGAGATAAGAGTTGATTCTAAGATACCTTAGTGGGTAGGAGAGGATACCTGACCAATACTAGTTAAGAAGGGAGTTAGATATTATAGGGGGCTGAGGGTGGTAGAGAGTGTTTACTGAAAAGATGAGCAGCTGTCTTCCTCACACTTGGTATTAAGATAATACATTCAAAATTAATTGTCGCATAGTTGGAATCAGAAAATTGGCTAGCAGGTGAGGTAGACTGTTGTAGAGTTGGTAGATGAAGATGTTATGTGATTTAGAAGGTTTTGATGGAGGAGGAATACTGGGATACCAGAACACACTTCTATTAGGCCCTCCCAGATGTTGAATAAGCAGTAAATGGTATAAGAAAACCAGTCTAAAACTGCCTTAAAGCCAAGCTCTGTGATGGTGTAGAGTGTGTGATCAATAATATTTTAAGTTTACTATCTTTAGCATATTCATGTGTAGTCTGGTGGAAAGATTACGGGAATGGGGTATAGAAAAGACATGAATTTTAGTCTCTACTGTCTTACATGTAAGTCAAACTGCCTCATTTCCCCAATTTGTAAACGGAATCATGTTTACACCTTAAGCTGCCTCTCAGGGATGCCATGTGAATAAATGAGATGATGTCTATAACATGCCTGCAGTTCTTCAAATAGAAGTGCTAAAGAAATCTTTGATTATATTGTCATTCCTTGTGTTTGTGGCTCCCCTGGAGTCATTAGTTTACTCCCATCTATTGAATCTTTATGTCCTTGGGAGAAATGTGGCTATAGGTTTGTCAAGTGGGATTACTGTAAATTAAGAAAAATCATTCTATTATGAGCCTGCTAGATTTGCTATCTATCTTTGTATTTTTGATCCAAGGACTTGGGATAATTATGAGAGCCAGACACTTATCTCAAAATCAAGGAGTAGTAATGCTACCTACACTTGGCAAAAATAAGCAAAAGCAACAGGGCAAAAATAAAAATGCCTTGCTTGGATGGGGATAAATCTCAGCCCATTCTCAACTCCTTTGTTTAATTCTACTGTCTGTGGATAAAAGCAATAAGAAACATCAACATTGAACATAAAAACTAAGAGATGTTCAGCAGGGGGAAAAGCAGTACTTACCTATATATTTCTTCCTTTTTAAATAATGTTCAAAAGGAAATAGGTTGCAGTGCTAACAAGGTCAGAATGGATTAGCATCATCATTCCCTTTGGCAAATGCTTGCTGGTCACTTCTTCAACTCCTGTCGGTCTCTCTTCTTTCTACCTTTGTCTTTTCCCTCTTCATTTTGCTACCAATCGCTTATTCTCTCGTTTTGAACTATCACATACCATCATAGTTATTCTAACAAATTAAAGTACAAAAAACCCAAACAACGAAGTGAAGCAAAAAAAAAAAGTTGCTTTTAACTTTTCTTTGTATGTATCTGACTGTTACTATTTCTTACATTGTAAATTCTTTGCAGGGACTGTTTAAATTTTGTATAGCACTAGTACTGTGCCATTTGAACTTAGGCATATAATAAATTTTTTAAAATTATTATGATATTGATGCAGGGAAGAGAGGGTTTGAGACTAACAAGACTGTGAAGGCTACCTAATGCCACCTCCCAACTCCCCCCACCCCCATACATCTGAATTTTTCCATTCAAGTCCACACCAAACCTGCAGATATCCAGGGATTCTTCTGTCTCCTAGTCTTATTTTTTAGAACTTTGATTCAAAGTTCTTACCTATACAGAGATATTTTTCTTTTTTTGTAATTTTGGACCTGTGATTTCACTAGTATGAGGAACTGCCTTCTGTGGAAACATTCTCCATTAATGCATTGACAGTTATCTGTAACTTAGTCTTAGTTGCCTGGGCCCTAAGGTTGAACGGCTGGCTCACAGTCTTACAGCCAATATGTATGTATCATGAGGCAGGACTTGAACCCAGGTCTCCCTGAAAGGCCAGCCCTATAACGAGGTTATGCTTTTTGACTTGTGGGCAGCACTACAAGCCAATCTCAAGCCATTCCCTTAGGTTCCTGAGTAAAGTCTGGATCTGTGCTTGGAGGGGGAGGGAAGTATCAACAGTCTACAGATTACATCTAAACTTCTTCTTGCTTTTAGCCTCCCCCCGCCAAAAAAAATTTCTTTAGGTTGTTAAAGAATAACATGAACTAGGTTTTTTCCCCCCTATGCACAGGGAGAGAGGTACATATACGCAGTGAAATAGCCAAAACCTCACAAACGTGTTAGTAAACCACAAAGTAAAACTCTCTATGATAGTTTCCATTTTCTTCTACTCTCTTCTCACTTTCCCCACAAGTCTGTATGAGAAACTGAATAACATGTTCAAGACTAAAGGAGTAAAGGCATTACACTAGCCCTAGGCTAGAGAGACCAATATGACACCAAGACAGTAATCAACACAGGCACCCTCTGACTGTCAAACGCCCAGAATATCCCCTAGAGAGAGAAGGATGGATGAGATGGTTAAAATCTTCGACTGCCAACTAATATTTTTCAGCTACTACAGGTTTTCCTTGCTTGAAGAAAATGCAATATTACATAAACATCTCAATTGATGCAAACAGATAAAAACAAACCTGGTGGGGTGATTCAGTAGACTTCCTTGAAATAGCTCACCAAATAATTTTTAATTAAGATTTAATTTATTCACCTGTTGTTTTGGGGAACAAATTATTAAGGAAACCAATGTATATAAGCACTCATACCCTGTGTGTACGGCTTAGTGACACCTGATCTGCTTTTGAGACTTTTGGGGGGGGGGGCAGCCGGGGGAAAGCTTCATGACTCTATTTCAACTCTCCAAGAAAAACTTCCTTAAGTCAAACTTTTTGTAAACTGTTAGGAGAAAATGAGCAGCTAATAGTGACTACAAGGAAGCATGAAGAATAAGAGTAATGATCCTTAAGAAATTATGGCCAAATATGGTCATGGCTTTGTACACCAGATGTGAAGTTAGCAACTCTGATCTGAGCAGAGCAAAATGGAGCACCGGACATGATGGCAGGTTTTACTGGAGAAAGAAGGGTATCACATGGCTGACGTTTAGGTAGTATCAGGTAGCTCTTTCATATGCCAAATGATAGTGGAATTTCTAGACAACAAAACAAGTATGCCTCTATCTCATCCTACTTGGTTACTTCTTCCTCCAGTTTAATAGTTTTTATTAGTTTGGTCCCAGCTCCTGTTGAAGTAGTCATGCATGTATTTGTTTTACAGTGGTTTCTTTCCTTAGAGGGTGGGAGCTTAGAAGAAGAAATGGAGAACTGTTAATGAGTCTTAAGCCTTAAGGTAGTCCAAGTGGGCAAGAGAGATTACCATGAGAGATTGCTGCTTCTCTTTTTTTGCAGGCCTTTTAGGAGAGATCCAGATGTCATCAACTGCTTTTAATGCTACTGGGGTATTTGGGGAATGAATGAAAGGAAAAAGGATGATTTCTCTAAAGCCTTATGATTACTGGTTAGGCAATGGAGAATATGGCTTGTGGTACAAGTTACTGACTAGGCTAGTTCCCTTTCCGATAACCTCTTGGAGGGAGTGGGAGGTGGGCGGTGAATATTTGCAGCAGACAAACCAGACATCAGCTGGGTAAGGCTTCTGCAGCTACCAATGGGTTCTAATCTACTGATTAAGAATCCCTGATTTAGACTCTCAGAGGATTTCCTAATCACTGATTCAAGGCAGGTGGTAGGACTGCAAAGGGGTTTCAAATGCAGGCCAAGGACCATGATGTGACTTAGAGAGTTTCCCCTTCTAGCTCCAAAACTTAATAACGTAAGATTTTTGGCTTCAAATTATTCCATTTCTTCCTTAATTCAGATTTGGTGCTGCTGGAAGCAAAAATATAATTGATAGAGTCATAGGAGAGGTCCCACATCTGTGTCTGGGTCAAACCAAATGTCTCAGCAGCTAGCTGGTACTCCTGAGAAAGGTGTGTTGCAAAAACACCCTTATCATCAGTCTGCCGATATAAACGAAGAAAGTTTCAGAATTAGAGTCTTATGAAAATGAGGAAATGACTATTTCCCTTTAATATGTGATCAATATTCCTATGGTAACATCAAGTTGTTTCCTGTTTTCCCCCTCTATGATGTACACAAGAATATATTTATACAGAGTTTACATTTTCTGGTCCCCAGAACCACTGAATCCCAAAGCCCTGTTTTCATATGTACCTATGAGAATTGGTAAAAGAGGTAGTATGGTAATGATGTGAAAGAACACTGAACTAGGAATCACAAATCTTGGGTTCTAGTCCCAAGTTTAAGTGATCCATGGCAAGTCATTTAACCTCTCTTAGACTCATGAAGGAGTAAGCTGTCCTACCACTTTGTAAAATGTGAAGTGACATACAAATGTCAAGTGTTATTATCATTAACAATTAATAATATTTATAGAGCCCTTTGAGATCCCAGCTAGAAGGGTCAATATAAATCTTTCTTACCATGAAACTATACTAGTTGCAAAACTGAGCCCACCATTCAAACAAACCTGAAATTTTAGCTTTGAAATACATTTTTAGTTACCCCTTTTAGAAGAGACTTTTGTGTCTTCTGGAGCTATAAATCATGGTGCATAAATAAATATTCATCATAGTTTTGTGTAGCACTATTTCCTGGGCCCCAGGATTAGGGATAGAACAGTAGAAGAATAGTGTATTTCTCACTTATAACTTCTCTACCATCTTTCCCAAGTTAGTTGCTTCCCTGGTTCTTTTCTGTGAAGTCAAGAGCTATTCACCCTGGTCTTATGCAATTCTTCCTGCCAGACCAACCACTCAACCAATTGCTTAAGCAATATTATGAGGCATCTAAGGTAGGTAATTCAGTTATTAATGCTATACTTGGTTTACTACAAAAGCAGAAGAAAAAAAGGATCAAAATATTTTAAGCAAAGCATCTTACTTACACAAATCACAGAAGGGTGGGCTATGCCATACCAGAATCCAAAGTGATGCTGATCATAAGAAGGTACCGTCTGACTTTTGATGTTTGAAGTTAAACAGAGTTCTAAGTGAAAAAAGAAAAAAAAACCAAACACAATATTAAAACCACAAAAAGGAAGTTAATCTCCACTATGTTCTATAGGAAGATTAACCAAATGTTTTCACATAATAGCATTTCATAATTTTAAAATTTTTGTTTAGTAAACACAATTAGGTGTTCCACTAATTCATTAGTGGAAAAAACTCTTTTCTATTATTATAGCAAATTGTAGCAAATTATAATAAAATAATTAACATTTCTTTCCTTCTTTCTCTCCTCCCCCCAAAATTCACCTCCGTAAGATGGAAACCTATTCCATGTGGGGTTTCCTCTTCCCTTACCAGACACAGGGTCAGCATTATAATGTATAACAGTATAGGGAATGATCTTGGCAGCCCAGCAGATGTGATGGGGGTTGTGGGGGTGGGGAGGGGGAGATGCTTTTAGGCTGGGGTATCCAGCCTAATCCCAGCCTTACTGCAGAAGCTCAGATGAAGCCATGAAAATACAGCACTGAGTGGAAACTGCAACATAAGGAGACCAGGATAGAATCGGGTTAAGAAAAGCTCTGAACTTTTTCTGTGGTCCTATAGGAAACCAGCATTTATTTACCCATACAAACATTCACCTACTGTTCTTTTTTTGTTTGTTTGTTTGTTTTTTTGTTTTTTAGGCAATTGGGGTTAAGTGACTTGCCCAGGGTCACACAGCTAGTAAGTGTCAAGTGTTTGGTCTGAGGCC